CCTCTTCCTTGCCTAGCCTTTGTGTAGGAGCACTTCCATTGTTCTATTGCATTAATCTTTAATCCTCTAAGAACTATGGTTTTTGCTTTTCTTCGCTTGTCCATCTTCAGGTAGGAAGTAATAGGATCAGCAAGGACTTATCTAATTGCAGTGTTGAAAAAGGACAGGTGGTGATGCAAGACTGTGCATGTGGATTTGAGTGGGAAAGTAGGTGAGTCACTGAGTGAACTGTATTAAGCTGAGCTGCAGTAACAAAAGACCCCCTCTTGTGAACTGGTTGCCATGGCTTAAACATATTCCCCAAAGTTAAGAGGTAGGAAAGTTAATCCCCGGTGGGAGGTGGGGCCTAGTAAGAGGTGATGCCAGTTCTGCCCACATGAGAGGACGCATGTTCCTGTAGGAATGGGTGACTTATCTAATGACATGTTTGTTACAACAGCAGTTGCCCCAATTCATCACTCTCATGTGTGCCCTCCCACCCAGCTGCATTCCACCATGGGAGGACACAACAGTAGACTCTGGTTTACTTGGAGCTGGGAGTGGTGACAGGCTGAGCTAGGCATGACCATGGAACCACCCGACACACATGGGCACTGGGATTGGGTACAGGCTGGGTTGATCCAGGCTGCGACACCTGCAGACACACACAAGAATGTGATGTGGAGTGGGCCAAGCCACAATATCCACCTCTGATACATATGCAGGACAGAGGGGGTAACTACGACTGGTAAGAGCCTAGCACACACAAGCACAGGTAGGAGTGGCTCTGGGGGGCAGAACTAGAGGAACTCTCCTCATGGGCTGTTGCTCCTGCTTGTGAGACCAGGCAAGGTGACTCCACCTATCCAGACACATGTGGAGTGGTTTTGGAAGGGAGTCTACAAGGCAGGGCCAGGCCAACCTTAGCTCACTGGAAAGTGCAGGAGCCAGGCTGGAATGTGTGGTATGTCTGGCTAGGCTATCACAACTGCTAGTTTGCATGAGTCATAGATGGGAGCAGACTGGGCAGGGCCAGGCTGTGGCACTCACCAGCAAGTGTTGGGACTGAAGGTAGGCCAGGTCAGGCCAGGCTTCAGTATTTGATGACAAAAGTCAAAATAGGAGATGGTCTATGCAGAGCTAAGTCAGAGCAAACCAGTGGCATGCACAAGATCTGGGGCTGGGAACAGGCCTGGCTGGGGAGCTAAGGGGATGCCCCAGCTAGATTGTGATTCCCACTGGTGAGCATGAGATGTGGAATGGAGGTGGATGTCTGGATTGGGCATGGTTGCAAAGTGCCTCGGCATAATGGAGACAGGCTCTGAGGCAAGCCAGACTGGGCTAGACTCCAGTATCCACTGGTGCTTGTGAGAGCCAGAGTGGTTATAGACAGGTTGGGTTAGGTTTATGCTTCCACCGGCCACATGAGAGCTGTGTTGGGGTGTGGACTAGGTGTGGCTGGGCTGTAACACTCAACAGCAAGAACTGTATTGGGTATGGGCCAGTAGGGAAGAACTACTGTTCCTGCCAGGACAGGAGGGGGACTAAGTCAGCCCAGGCCAAGGACCCACCAGTGTATGTGAGATCTGCCACTGAGAGGAACCCAATAGAGGAGCTTGGGGAACTCCTTTGTCAGGGTACAGTCCCTGCAGGTGAGCACAAGAACCAAAGCAAGGGACAGCCCAGAGCAGACCAGGTTACAATAACTGCCAACATATGTGTTGCTCAGGTCTGGGGGCAGGATAGACTAGGCCAGTTCATAATGCCCACTAGCAGACCTGAGAACCAGGATGGTGTGCAGTATGGACTGGGTCTGGTTGTATCACCAGTCAGTTCACATTAGGGCCAATACAGGGGACTAACTGCCACCAGGTTGGGCGGCAGCTCCAACCAGCCCGAGTTGGAATAGGGGCCAGGCCAGGCAATAGCACCTGCCAGCAAATACTGAGTTAAGATGGGCCATGCCAGACTGGGCCGTAGCACCCACCAGGACACATGAGACCAGAACAGGGGGTGAGCCTGGGAGGGGAGTAATGGGAACTCCAATGCTAGGCCACAGCTCATGCTGGCAAGCGTAAGAACCAGAACTGGGGGCAGACCAGGCTAGGAAGGACTACAATACCTGTTGGCCTACATGTAAACTGGGTAAGGAAGAGAGCAGGCTGGGGTAGCCAATTATATTCACTGGTACAGGCATGGACCAGAACAAGGGTAGGTGGGTTGGGCTTTGCAGCAGCATCAGCTGGCAAGTGCTGGGACTGGGGGCAAGACCTGTCAAGCTAGACTGCGGAACCACCTGGAGAGTGCAAGATCTGGGGCAGGGAGTAGGTCCAGTGGAAGAGTTCTGGGCACCTCTCAGATGGGCTGCAGCTTCCACTGGTGAGCATGAGAACCAGGACTGGGGGAGGGCATGGCTGGACAGACAGTGGCACCCACTGGAATGTGTGTTAGAGTGGAGTCAGTTGGGTTGAATTAGACTTCAATGCAAAATGATGTATATGAGATCTCAATGGGATGTGGGGTAGACTGCACCAGTCCATTGCTCATGCTGGCTGGCACACAAACCAGAGCTTGGGGGGGAAGCTAGTCCAGTGGGGGTTATTGGGAGTTTGCTCTGACTGGGCTGCAGTCCCCCCTATGGTACATGAGGGCCAAGTGTGTGTTGGGTAGGGCCAGGCTAAGCCGCAGCACCCATTGGTTTGCTGAGGATGGAGGGCAGAACAAATTGATCAACTACCCCAGTGAAACTTGACAGCAAATTTCTGGGCCAATGGAGACTCAGAGGCAAACTATGAGAGACAATCGAGCTCAGAAAGATTTCCTTATCCTTGGAGCAGTGATATCAGCAGCATCTCAGAACTACTAAAAACACATGAGCAGAACCCTCAGAAAACGCTCCACAATGGAGAACTTGGGATGACGAGTGGCATTGCCCCTCCCCCCCCCCGGTAATGCAGCAGTTGGGAAGCTGGGTGTGGTTTCTCCTCTCCTCCCTATATGGGAAGAAGAAAATGTGTAAACAAGGGTCTGACACCCTATCCCCTGACTCCATCAAATGTGTATATATATATAGCGAGAGAGAGCGAGCGAGCAGACTCTCAACTTTGGACTTCCCAACTTCCAGAAGTATAAGCGATAAGCCTCTATTTTATTTAAATTCCCAAATCTCAGATATTTTGTCACAACATCATCAAGTGGACTAAGACATTGGTCTTCCACGTTCACCCCCACCAGTTCTTCCAACTTAACACACGGTTTCCAAAGTTGGTCTGCTCAAGCCAATTCCAGCAGATTATCAGATGAGATACTTCATTCGATTGCTCCTGGCCTAGATTGAGTTACTGAGCCACAGTGAGCCAGCTGCAAAGGAGGCTGGGACATGCCATCCCTACCAGATAGTTCTATGCCTAGCCTAAATGCAGGGAGCTGAAAACTGAAACAGAGAAGGGGAGAATGGCTCACTAATCAAGAGACACAAGGGAAATGGAAGGAGGTGGCAGCAGCAGGGATGGAGAGGAAAGCATGTGACCAAGACAGAGAAAGCAGACCCAACTGAGTCCACTGCTCAAGGGCCATAGTGAAGATGGAGCAATTCAAGAAGGGACTGGTCCCTGTGCAGAAGATAGGAACTTCTGGCGGGGCACTGCTGTGACCCAGGAGATGGGTTTTTATGACGCTGTTCTGGAACACAGCTATGCCTGCTACAGATTGTCTGTGGCCACTAAGAGTCAAGGAGCTCACCATGATCTGCGTGGCTTTGAAAGCCTGAGGCATATCCTGCATGGCTCTTTACGAGAAAGCTTGGAAACCTCTGGGTTAAGACATACCAGGACGAGCAGGTACGCATGGCCACATTGGTTGCTCCAGAGATAAAAGTCAGCAGAACTGGGGAGGTAGGGGAGTAAACAAGGAAGAGTGGGAGGCAACTCCTTGCGTACTGACTCCATCAACAGGCAGGAGACACAGTGAGGGTGGCGAGAAGAGTGGGGACCAAAGGGTCAGGGCCCAGGAAGATCCACGGGCATGGAGATCCTCGTAGAGCGGTGGGACATACAGCAGCATCCTTGGTGACCCAGATGGTAGCCCTGACAAGCAGTGGTGAGGATGGAAGCCAGAACATGGCAAATGAAGCAGCAATGGAGGCGAGGAAGAGGGGGTTCCAGGCAGAGAATCCTTCCAGAGAAGCTCCTGACACAGGGAAGGGAGTGAGAAAGGCATGCAGGCTGAGGGGTTGAGGGAGGGCTTAACTTTTCAGGAAAATGAGACCATTTAGATCTGTGGAATATAAAGCTTTGTTGGTTTGAATAATTTCAATTTTAAAAATGTGGGATTGCCTTGGATTGGTGAGAGTGACAGCATTTCAGAACTATCAGAACCACCTGGGCAGCGTGTGCCACACTGGGACACTGGGCTGATGCCGGGTGGCCATTCCCCATCCCTGGGTACTGTGGTGGTTGGGAGGCTGGGTATGGCTTCTCCCTTTGTCTCCCCTTTCCCCCCAGAAACAGGAAGAGAAAATTAAAAAATTTGGAAACAATCAGACCCACCCACTTTTCCCTAACCCTCAATCCTTCCTACCCTGATCAACTATGTAAACATCATCAAAAATGAGAATAAAAATTTCTATAAAATGCGGGATGTAAAACACGTGTTCAAAGCATGACCTAATGTGTGCGAGCATCTCTTGTGTAGCTGAACACAAATCCAGTCCCGCACGTGTACATCTGGGAGTGTGTCAGATAAAGTGGAGTTTGTGGGCAGGAAGTGTTCAAGTGTCAGTACTGGACCTGGGACTGTTCCGTAAGAAGCAGAGACTTGAGATGGAGACACGGGGTCTCCCAAACAGCCACCCGTGAGGCCCGGCATGCTGACACGCTCGTTGCATTGTGTCTGTATTACTGGCATTTTGATTATGAGAAAAGCCATGGAATAAACATATAATTGAAACCCAAACTTCATCATCTAAAATGTGATGATCCATCTCGGGACCTACTGAAAAAAGCCAGGCATAGACGCACAGATCACATTTGACAAGTTCCTTTTTATTTTGAAACCAACCTGCACATGAAAAGAATGGGGGGAAAAGTTGGCCTTTTGATTCTCACAATGGAAAAGCTGAATCATCTTTGTCCAGTTCTTCACTGCTTATTGCTTTTGATGATGGCAATGCCATGTAAAACTCCCCAAGGAAATGGATATTTATTTTGTGGATTTTTGTGTTTGTTTGCTTTTAGAAACTAAACTGAAAGACCTCACACACCTTGGGTACTAAACCCGAGAATCCTGACTGGATGGTCCCATGCTTCTCTTTAGCATCCGGGTGACATTTAGCTCTGATTAACATTTATCCTAATAAGTCAGAAAGCTCCATGTCATTGGCATCTGCCTAAATCTCTCCATCTCTCTCCCTCCCGCCCTGTTCCCTGTTGGAATTTGCTGGACAGAATCGGCATCTTTCTTTGGGACTGCTCTTGCATCCGGTTTCCAGAGAACCTGGCACATCCTGAGCAGAGCAGATGCACAGCCCTGAGAGGAAGGTTACGTCATGGATTTCATGCATTTTCAGGGAAAATGCATTATTTCTTGTCAGCAGCACCTATAAGTCAACACTGACCTGATGGCGAGCTCACTGAAGATCCTACAACACTCATTTGTTCAAAACCCTCTGACCGTGGCAACAAAAGGTCCATACACAATTTTCCACACATGAAATGCATCTCTTCTGCAGGCGGGTGTGTGTTTAGCACACTTCCCGAGTGGTGTTCTGTTGGAAACCCAATTCCCACAGCTCAGCAGATGCTGACCCAGAAACACAGGAACAGAATCCCACACCCCACAGGTTGTAGTGTCTCAAAAGGAACCTAGTGTGAAAAAGCAGCAAATGTGCAGGGGAGGAGAGGACCCCTGAACACTGGGTGAAGTCACAGCCTGTACTTGTGTTCATTGCTGACAAAGCACAGCCCGGAGATCCAAGATGACCCTTCCGGGTACCCGCCAGTCACTCTGTGGTACCTGGAGCTCCTCCTGGCCGGGGAAAGTCCGTGCAGTCCCAGGGACCACAGAAGTCTGTGACACCTCCACTTGGTGGGGGGGTCTTGATGCTGAAACAGAGGTCAAACAACAGCTTAGAAATGGAACCCAGAAAATGAAATCAATGGGCCTTTTTTTGCAGAGTAAAGCAGAACTGCATAATCTAAAGGTAGTCTCTAGTAGGAACCAAAGAACCATGGAAAAGATAAAACGTATTCAAGAGACATTTTTCCTGCTCTAATCCTGTTTGTGACGTTTCATTATTATTTCAGTCTCTGAAATAACTTGAAAAACTTGCCACAAAAATGACTATGGACTAATTTTTCAAAATACAGAAATGTTTAAAACATTTAAGATCATAACACTCAAGGTACATCGTTAGTACATAGTTACATAGGTCATATATTTTACAAGAAGTATAAAAGCCACAAACATTTGCATATTCTGAATTACATCAAAAAGCCCATGAAAACAGAATTTTAATATAAATTTAAGTGGAAAACTGTTAAAATCCATACATAGTTTCATCACAATATTTTCAAAAATTTTGTAGACATCCTCATATGCAAGAATGTAAAAAATGTTTGCAACAAAATACACATGTCTTAATTCCATTTCTCACAAACTTTTAGTAGTGCCTTCTTGGAGTCTCCGAGCATAGCCAAGTCACAGGGATGATGTTTACTGCACCATCCTGTATAATCTATTCACTGACCGAAATTCTACTTGGTGTATTAGGGTTAGCTACGTTTTCACATTAAAAAAAAAACACAAAAAACTTTACTTCCATGAATTCTTACATGAACGCAACAGCCTTACCTCAAATGATTCCACATTAGCCATCAGTGATACACGGGCCTAGGAAAACAGAAGACACAGAACTGTAAGTCTCCCTGGCAACGCTGTGCACTCAGTGGCCCTATGTGACTAAAGGGAGCAGAACAGACACTCACACCTCGGGAGCTGAGCAGGAACAGAGTTTGCAGGTTCAAGGTTTTGGTAGACGCATCTAGCTCTTGTTTGTACTGCCTTGAGTGAGGAAGAGAGAGAGGCCCAAGCCATGACAAGTGGACTGCTAATGGCCCAAGGCTAGAAGGGGTGAAAGGTCACCAGGAATACGTTGAACATATCAGACTTGCAGAAACCAGATCAAGGTGGCAGCAGACTGGGTGCTCCGATGAGCACCTTTTTACCACCCGTCTCCAGGGCCAGCAGACAGAAGCCAAGGGAGACCAGATGATGCACCTGTCCTCTGAGATGCTCTCAAGGTAACACACAGAAGCCTTACCATACACTGGAGTTGGCCCACAACCATAAGGGGTGTGTATGCAAGGGGAAGAGGAGTGAGCCCCATGGCCCCCTGTGACAGGGAAGCCTGGTGGCCAGAAGAGCAGGCTGCTTATGGACAAACTGTCCATGGTTGCGAGGGAAGGGCCAGTGTGCAAGTTGATGTGACAGTCTCTGGAGTGCCAGGGACTTTTCAGCACACGGCAGCTAGAGGGTCCCTAACTGTCCGCCATAGAGTTGCGTGCTGACAACAGAGCACAATGGACTATTCTCCATGCTGCCATTCCTTTACTGAGCCCTGTGCTACCGATGAGGGCAGAAAATTGCTTCTGGCATTTATCAGTCATCATGTCCCCATTCGGTGTCTCGGATGCACGATCCCTGAAGTAGAATCTTTGTCTCTCTCTCTCACTATGACTTTCAAATAACTTTTTAAAAGAAAGCACGAGAAGATTTGATGTCAAGACAACACAGGTGGCTGAGAATAGCTCTCCTTTGGCCTTGAAATTTTCAGTGTATAAATCCTAAGATACCACCTGAGCATGTTACTGCATACAAAAAAGGCCAAGTTTTGACACAAGCCAAGATACTGTCCACCCCTTTTAGAGAAGACCTGGCTAAAGTTTAGAATCAATGTTCAGATTCTCCCCAGCAAGCTTAGCAATGAGGGCTAGCATAGTGGATGCAGTAAATGACAGGAAGTCCATCTGGTATTCCAGCACTTTCTTGTTCCTGTTTTCTATTATTCACCTTTTCTGCCAAGGACAATAGTTTTCATCCTGGCCAAACTTAAATCCTAATCACTCGATGGGCATTAGGAGGTAGGTGAATAGGGTCATGAAGACCCAGTGTTCCCTAAGGTGATTACTGTGCCAGCTTGCCCCTTCTGCCACATGGGGGCCCTGTGGCAAGGAAAGCGGCCTCCACCTGGTGTAGAACTTGATGAGCCCTTGCTCTCAGACCTCCTGGTTTCTAGAACTGCGGGGAATGAATTCCTGCTGTTTGTAAACTACTCAGCTTACGACCTTCCTCACGGCAGTCCAAACACAGTAGCACAACCTCCTGCCTTCACTTTAACGGTAAGTTAAAGTGAAAACTTCCGAAGCTGTCACAGTGCTGGAAGTTTAACTCAGGTAAGCCTTCTATCCTTCTGAAAGGATCAATTCTAACAACGTTCTAGTTATGCAAATGAAACCTGTTGAGGATGGAGCAAGGAACATTCTTTTCGGAAATGCCCCCTGACCGGTCACTTGCACCCGGACCAGGAGGTCCAGTATACAAACACCTCTGAGAAGCCTGGGGCCTCCCCTTCCCTTTCAGATGGATGTGGGCCCTGTGGATGGCGAGGGTTCTTATTCAGTGTGGCTCACCCATGCACCCAGGGTGGACTCCTGCTTTTGAACCTGACATCATTTGGGGATCCAAAGAATACTGTCTTAGGGCCGAGGCAGCTGGTATAAGGATGAAGAGGATCGCCCCTGTATACACTGGTCCTACCTCTTCTGAGTAACACATTCCCACGTGGGAGGGTGTGTTTATGAAGTTTAAGTCGGGCCTGGGGATGTGGACCCCTGGCAGATAATACTCAGTATTGACTGACAAATATCTGGAAGCACAAGAAACTCTTGAATCTGGAGATTTCAAGGGAGGGGCAATGAAGAAGGAAGAGAAAGAAGAGAAAGAAAACGGAAAGGTTCTGTGTTTATTTGGTGCCAAGATGGTAAAACAAAAATATGCATGCATTCAATCTGCAGTGATCTAGGGTCATGCATAGCCTTGTTAGATGACAGTAAATTTTAGCCGGCAAACAATCCCATTGTTAAGTAATCTATTGCACATTGCTGGGTTTGGCATCATGAAAGGCTGTGTCGGGCATGAGCGCAGGGCATTCATGGAGAGCGTGAGAAAAGTGAGGATTATCAGTGGCATGCAGAAGGCTCAGGGTCATGGTTACAGCAGGTGCACTGCAGGATTGGCAAGCAGCCTTTGTTTACCTTGTCATAACAGGATTGTGGACACCATATAAATGGTCTTTACGATAACCACTATTACCATTTTCCATACTGTAACAAAATTACATACAACAAAAACACAATGTTATCTCTAAGATGAAATGCTGACGTCACGGAGTACAACATCATGACCACGGAAAGGGGTGACAACCTAACTCCACAGAAGGTGAGAGGGCACACTTACATTTTGCTCTTTTTAATAGCAAAGATTGAAATAGCTATTTCATAGGGTAACAAATATGACACATTAAATGTCCATTAGTTAGTTCACAAGTATTTACCGAGAGCCTTGGACCTGGATATATCAGCTGTTTTATGGGATTTAATAATGTTACTGATTTAATTCCAAAAGTCCATCAGATAATAATAAAAACTTCCCCCCATTCCATCAATGAATATAGTTAAAATAAAAAAGCTTACTTTGCCATGGGTATAGTTTCAACACTATAAAATACAAAAGAGGGAGGAGGTACAATTATTATTTTAGTATTAAAGCTCAACCAGTCCATTCTCCACATTTCCCCACAAACTTGGATCCTGACAACAATTCCAGAGAAATACGTGTTGAGATGAGTAAAATTTAAAGGGCAACAGAACAAATCCGCTGGACACACAAAGCAGGGCAGGCTATATGCCAAAATGAAAGCCGTGACCACAGTTGTCACAAAGTGTAATGCCAGGTCCCCGAGGGAGAGGAACTGCAGATGAGAAAGAAGAGGGCGGGTTAAGCAAGCCAAGAAGACCAAGCAAGAGAAAACAACAGTTCAAACAAACTGAGGGGAGTGGCATCCTCAAGAGAAGGCCAGACTACTGTAAGAGAAATAGGCCACTACTTAAAAACATACAGTGGATCAAGGTTATCAAAGCCCACCCCGGCAGGTATTCAAAACAAAACCAGAGAGAAGAGGACCCCTAAGATAGTTTTTAATATTTTCACTCCTGGAAAGGTGATGAGACCATCAAGGGGTGGGGCTAACCATAGTTAAAAGTTTTATAATGTATACACAGATCAAAATATGACACTGTCACCCCATAAATAGATGCAATTAAGATTTGCTGATTACAATTAAATAAGACCCACAGCCCACGTGGGCACGCACATACTTACTCATCATACACATCCTCTGACTCCATCCGACGATAATGCTTGGCTAGCTTTACGCTAAGAATTAGAGCCGGAAGTAAAAACACAGTCGCTTCTCCAAGGCCAAACCAAAACAAATTCTAGGAGGGAAAAGAGGCAAATTAAATGCTTGAAGATGGGAAATGGAAAACAACAGTTGGCTGAGGGAAAAGGGATTGTTGGTGATTTTCAAATCAGTTTTCATTTTGTTCTTGGTAACCGTTTGTGAACCTCCCATGAAGCTGCCAGCGTGTGAATTGCTGCCTATTTTAGAATTCAATCTTTCTAAAAACCTTGAGTAGATCCTATTCTTGTATTTACTTCTGCAAAAGAAGAAGAGATTCAGTCTGTGGTGGTGGCTGGATCTGAATCAAGGAGTCGCCAAAACAGCGTCTAAACAGCCCTTGGATGGCCTGCCTCTTTGGTCCCTAGTGTCGCCCAGGCAGAGTAGGCCCAAGCCGAGTTCCCTTTGCAGAACTGTATGCTGGTCGAACAATGGATCATTTTATCTAGAAGCAAGGCTGAGTGTGTCCTCAGAACTCAACAAATGCTTCAGGCTGAATTCAGCCACTTTTTTACTCAAAAAGCAATACTCAGTATTCTTATTTCAAATGACTGGGAGTCATTGGTCCCAGAGACAATGGCCAGAGGCAGCTGAGTGGTGGTGTTCCTTCAAGCGGGCAGAGGTCCTTGGTTGGCCCAATACACTCCACTAACTTTCACATGGTGACAACCAAGATAACTCGAGCTTATCAGGCGATCAGAACAGACGAGCTGTGCTCAGTGTGAGCCAATGGCCACCACACCCGACTGGGTACCAATTTAATTCACTTTGGGCTGAAATCTGTGCTGCATGGTGACACCCCTTTGGCTTCCAATGTCAGCAAATCTGATCCCGCTTCCTTCCTCTCACCCACAGACAGCTATGTTTCCAGACTTGTTTAAAGAGGCACTTTTGTGATAACCACATCCTTTTTCTGGCAGTCCTTTACGGACTAATCAAGATACAGTAGAAAGATGTTGGCTGTCCCATGGTCTCTTCCATTGATAAAGTAGACAAGCAAGTTTTTCCTTATTTCCTAGACCACCTACTCTAAACCCCAGTGATTTTCTACCTGTCTGTCCTTGATTCCTTGTGAGGAGGAATCTGGTAACTGGGTGATTTGACTGGACAGGGTGGCTAGAGGCTGGACACAGGGAGAAGTTAATTCAGAATCTAGCAGGTGAACCCAGGAATGACTCAACCAAAGTCAGCAGGCAGGGCTATGCAGCACAGGACAAAAGGCATACAAAGTTGCCAGAGTGGCAAAGCAGCCAGCAAGACGGGGCTTAGGACCAGTGCTGGATTTCTGGGCTGAGACTTGAAAACTGACCAACCAATAGTAACAAACATTGACTGAATGTGCGAACGTATTAGGACTGTGGTACAAGCTCTATGTCTAAGCTCTCATGGAACCAACAAAACAGCTCCATTTCAATGATCAAGCTCATAAAATTTCCAAAATTTTGCAAAGTCACAGTGCTCAGAACACACAGGGGTAAAATTTGAATTCAGAGCCCATGTCCTCAACCAGTAAGCTATAAGGTAAGAGGGAGGTAGTTTAGTGGGAGGCAGGTGGAGGGGAGAAGAGTGAGAGAGGGAAAGAAAGGCATGCGTGTGCCAGTCTCCAGTCCAGGGAGGGTAGAAAGTGTGTACAAAGGCTTCAGGGTGAGGAAGCCAAGGGGCATTTGAAGAAGTGAGAGAAAGCAAATGTGTCACGAGCAGGAAAAAAGGTGGGCAGATGGCACAAAATAAGGCCTCCTTGGGCAAGGACCCAATTAGGCATGGCCTATTGTACCCCTCAGGGGACCCTGATCTTTGCTGCGCTGTCAAAAGGGAGGCTGTTTTAAGCAGAGGAGGTAAAAGCAGATCAGCCGGTGGAAAGGGTTGGTGTCTACCAAGGAAGGATAAGTCCTGGAAATTGACATCCTCACGTCACATCCCAAAGGACGTAGCTTTTACAAATGACGTAGCTTTGGGGTTGCATTGTTACACTGAGGATCCTCACAAGTGCGAGCATTCAGTCCACCAGGGATGGCTGCGGACTAGTTACCCTGGACAAGCCCGAGTGTCCCCTGGCACCCGGACTTTAACGTCCTCAGTGCATTAGCATCATAAGAAAGTGTCAAGTTCATATTTTAGGGTCTTGATTATGAAACTGTAACAAGCCCAGGCAAAAAGTGAACGTTATCCTATGTGTTAGGACCTGTTGAGAAGGATGAAGAGGTTATTGTGTCTTTTTTTTTTTTTTTAAGAGTTCTTACCAGAGGGTCAGTAATGTAGTTACAAAAAACTACCGAGACAGCGGAGTCCAGGGCTGTGGCCACAGGCTTGCAGGATGCCAGTTCCTCAGTGACCTACAAGAAGCACAGACAGACAAAAATTACAGTCAAGTCACACTCACACAGTCCCATGAGAATTAGACATGCATTTCCCTTTGGATCTGCTTCTAGCAAAATCTTTGAAGTTGGAGCTGGTTGGCTGATTCTCATGGGTTGTGCATCATGTAGAATCACACGCAGTCACACATGGCTTGATGATGGGCAGTCTGAGGACTGCGTCATGAGACCATTTCCACACTCTGCAAACCCGCATGGCCCGGCCTACCCACTGCACACCTAACCTCCACGATCCAGCCTGCCACTCCCTGTGGCACATTCCTGTCCTGGGTACTGCAAGCAATGACAGCCCTAGGGCAGGTGTCTGTGGCTTTACATGTATCCCCACACAGAAAAGGCACAGTGGAAAAATGATGCTAGTGACCTTGCAGCTCTGTTGCGACTTTACGGGATCAGTGTGGGAGATGCGGCCTGTCACCGGCCAGAAGGTCGAGAGTTGGATCATCACTCTCTGTGAGCGTGTCCCCCACCATCTCCCTATTTGTTATCTGGAACAATATGACCCAGATGCGTCCAGCACTGTGTTTCAGTCCTAACTCTTTCCCTGACCCCTTTGGTATCAACCCAAAGGACGCAGGAAGAACGTGGAAGGTGCCATCTGATAAAGCTGAGTCCTGGAAGTAGGAGAAGTGGTGCGTGTGGGATGTCCTCCCACCCAACGGGCAGACCCTGAACATCTTGGTCCTCACAACCCTACATCCGTCCACCCACCTCCCACCAGCTTATTCAGAGTTCTTTGCTACAGATTGTGCCCTAAGAAAATAACACACAGACAATACGGTGCCCCCTTCTGTATATAAAAATATCAATTACTTACAGTAAACTCAACCCATTGCAGATAATATTGAAAATGTGATACTAGGGTACTCCCGAACTTCTCAGATTCCTGGAAAGAAATTAAAGAACGATAAAACCATTCAAGTGGCATCCTTTAATGCTGTACAAGTTGCGTTTAATCAGGAAACGTTCACATGCCCATGCATCCACATATTTATTTGACAAATGAAACTCACTTCAATAATAATAGATGAAATATTTTTTGTGACAAAGTTCTGAGCTTCATCCAAAGAGTGAAGGATCACGTTCACCTTCTGATCACAGTCAGCAATGGTGGGCAGCGGATGGAGAGAGAGAAGAATTTGATTAGACAGTGTGCATAGTGGCTTCAGCAGTGTTGTTCCCAAAGGAACCCTGAAGACATTCACGGTCACTGTTGGCTTCACAGTCTTCCCTGCCTGTCACTTAGAGCCCAATCTTGAAGGCACAGCTCCTGCCCAGGCAGCCTTGGGCTGTCTCAGAGAAGAACAAGAGGTCACAGAGCGAGTGGGAGCACAGGTGGCCCTGTGCCTGCAGAGGGATGGCAGGTCTGGCCAGGCATGTACCTCATTCTGGCCAGGGTAAGGTCTGTGTGATGGCATTGTTTATGCTCTTAGCAGCAATTTCAAGACCCTCCTGTGTCTCCAATCATGCTTTGAACTCCAGAACTCCCCTGAGTGAGCGTGAGGTGGCCCAAGCAGGGGCCACTGCTCCAGGCTGGGGCTCTAAGCAGGAAGACACAGGGAAGTGGGGGTAGGGGAGAAGCCGGCAGTGACAATGTACCCTTGTGGCGGCAGACTCTGAGATGGCAGGAGGAGTGGTTAGGCAACACAACCTCCCCCGAAGTGAGCCCCAAACATTTCACTCAGGTACCTAGCAAAGTGCCAAAGGAACAGCTGCTCTTACAGCAGAAGTGCTTGTAGGAAATACTCAGTAACGAGCTCGGTTGTTTAAACAGGGGCCTAACTGAGTCTTGGCTTCTTAGTTCAAAAATCAATGCCTCTCAATTTCTGTTGGGATTTCATGATAAAACATCGTGACAGCCATTCAAAGCAAAGGCTTACCCCCACGTTGCTGCTCAAGTGCTGAAGTGTCTTGATGTAGTTTGGTAATGCAAGCTGATGAAGACAAACACACAAAGCATTTTCAGGATTATAGCATGAATCAGCAGGACTGTGGGCCTCCAGCCTCCCCTCCCCCACACAGCCCTCAGATCCCACTTCGCATTGGAGAAAAACCAACAGGCACAAGCCCCAGTGCACACTGCTGATGTCAAAAGCCTAAAGACGACAATCAGGACGCGAGTTCTCAAGATCTGACAGGTGCTGCATGGCAGGTGATTTGTCCAAGAAACTCCGTGGAGCTAGGTTCACTCCAGAGGAAGGCGTTGTGGGAGCGAGAAAGGAAACAAGAGGATGACAGTGCAACGGAAGTGCTGTCATCATTCAAGTTCAGCTGTTTCCAAGGCCAAAGACAGCGGCCTGGGAGCACCCAGAGAGGAGCAGTTGTGCTTCCACTACGTGAAAGCCTGCCCAGTGCAGCCAGCTTTCTCGGGTCCCAGTGAAGAGCCTGCCAGAGGCTGGCAATCATTACCAGTGCGATTTCCATGGGAGTAACTTGTTCATTGTGAATGGTCGTCAGATTACTGGCAGCGTTCTTCAAGGTCGTTTTCAAATTTCCTTCGGGCTAAAAAGAGAAGAACATGTATAAAAATCGACACCATTTTTAAATCTTCTGAAATAACTCCTTGAATATCAGGGGCCCAGGAAGCCACAAAAGAAGTATGCAAGGCACTGTGGTTGATGACCACTGTGGCTGTGCACAGCACTGCAAACTTACGGACTAGACACTCAGGGCAGCACCCCACACTCATTGCCAAGTCCCAGAGCCCCTCTGTGCTCCCCCTCTAGCCACCAGCACTTTCCCACCTTACAGATGAGAAAACTGAGACACAGAGGGGTGAGACATGTTGCCTGAGCAACTATGGTAAGGAAGAGGCCGAGTCAGAGGAAGACTCAGGTCTTCCTGTCGAGCCCAGGTTGCCATGGACTCTGCCCACTGCTCCTTGGAGGAGTCCATAAAGGCCTTTGGACACCAGCTAGCCAAGGGGCAGCTTTGTGCATTCAGATGGTGGGTCTGCCTTCTGTGAGGCAGGATGGTGGGTGTTGACGTGGCAGAAGTAGGAGAGGCCTGGTGGGCTGCGTCTGTTGAGGCATTCCTAGAAAGGTTTGGTCTCTGTGTGGGGTTGAGGAGCGGGAACCATGCAACAGCTGAGAGGCTAGGTGCAAAATAAAGGCGGAAATAAAGGGAATCGTGATCTCACACTCTCTCTTCCCTGGAGAAGACTCAATCAGATGTCCTTCTGCTCCTTTCCTGGGACATCAGAAGTCCAAGCCCTTGGCCTTAACACCAGCACCCTCTCCCGCCCCCGCCCCGTGTTCTCAGCCTCTTTGCCTCTGCCTTGGGACCACAGTCCTGGCTTCACTCCTGAGACCTCCCTCCTTGGACTGAGATGGGTTACCAAGTCCTCTGGGCTCTGCAGTTTGCAGGTGGCCCAATAGGGCACTTTCCATCCCACAGACTGTGTGAGCTGATGCCCCTGGGAAATATCTTCTTACTGTTTCTCACTCTTTGTGGGGGCTTTTCATATTCCCAGAGTGGCCTTAAGTACGCCTTCAGTATCTGACCTAAGAACACTACTGACCGGGCCTGGTGTGGTGGCCTATTGCCTAAAGTCCTTGCCTTGAATATGCCAGGATCCCATATGGGCGCCGGTTCTAATCCCCATGGCTCGACTTCCCATCCAGCTCCCTGCTTGTGGTGTGGGAAAGCAGTAGAGGACGGCCAAAAGCCTTGAGACCCTGCACCCACATGGGAGGCCTGGAAGAGGCTTCCCTCTCCTGGCTTCAGATTGGTTCAGCTCCAGCTGTTGCGGTCACTTGCGGGGTGAGTCATCAGACAGAAGATATTCCTTTCTTTCTCTCCTTCTCTCAGTACACCTGACTTTCCAATAAAAATAAATAAATCTTAAAAAAAAAGAATGCTATTGACCTTGACTGTCTACACTGTGACAACATGAATGAGACTATTTGAACTCACCAAATGATCGGCTTTTCCTTCTAGCTCACTTGAAAATGTTAAGAGGTCCATAGTTGAGGGGGATTTACCAACCTGCAAAAGAAATTTAAAAAAAGCGGTGCCATATATACAGGATTTTTAAACGTTAACAATATCTAACAGGCAATAGATGGACAGTGAGCCCAGGACATAAACAGAAGCAGTTAAACAATAGCACAGCTAACAACGACTGCATTTTTATTTGTGTATCTTATTTTTATACAACCATATTATTTAACAACCACGATAACAAAAGAATGAAGTGCTGAGAGTCTGTATAATAAGCAAGAAACTTAGCCCGCTAAGTGAAATAAGCTAGACACAAAAGGCTCCACGTTGCATGGTTACAGTTGGATAAGCTTTTCAGAGCAGGTGAAGCCATAGAGATAGAACACAGATTGGTGGTTGCCAGGGTCTCAGGTAAGAGAACAAGTGCAAACAGGCATAGTGCTTCCTAGGAGTGATAAACAGGCTGGGGAAGCCCACAGAGAACAAATCCCACTCCATTTGTTCACTAAAATGGCTTATTTATATTATTTAAGTCTCAATTAGAAAAAAAAAATTGAAAAAAAGAAATTACACATCCAATGATCTGAATTCCCCCCAGTTGTGTCCCACCTGGGCCAGGTAGGCAGCATAATCCAGTGTGTCTATTCCACAGTTAGAAAACTCCTGCAGGTTTCTTTTCCCGGCTTCATCTAGCAGAACAATACCATCAAGACTGATGTTCATGTTTTCAAATTCCTTCACCATGTTTTGAGTATGCTGCATGAAAAAGACAAAAGTTAAGTCAACCCATTCACCCCAAGCATGCCACATTCATCATGCCTTAAGAGAGCAACTACCTGCACGGGACAAACACAGGGAGAGCCTATGGGCACACTGGACTGCCTTTCTTCCCACAGCTCTCCTCGCTGGCCCCGCCCCTCCTGGCCCCGCCCCTCCTGGCCCCGCCCCCTCCTCCCTGTGTATTCCCCCCGCTGGAGGGGATGGGACACCAAGCAGCAATTTCATCTCCGTCCTCACAGACCTCAAGCGTTGGACGTGATAAAGGAGTGAGATCAGGAGCAAAGGGACTTGGCGGAAGGCTGCAGAGAAGCCGACTGAAAAGCACAGCGGAGGGAACGGGGCCTGTGCGCTCCGGCTCCAAAAGACAGAGATGCTCAAAGGCACAGGGTAGTCACCGGGAGGGGAGCAGCTGGCTCCCCGCCGCGCAGGAGGAAGGCACAGGGGATAGTTTTTAGGAGTGGAGTTTGGCTATTTGGGTGAAGCTCATGGGAAGGTGCTTGTGGCTAAATCCTCGCATTGCATCCACTGGGATCCCATATGGGCACTGGTTGGTGTCCCAACTGCTCCACTTCCCATCCAGCTCCCTGCTTGCAGCTTGGGAAAGCAGTAGAGGATGGTCCAGGGACTTGGGCCCCTGCACCTGCATGGGAGACCCACAGGGGACTCCTGGTTCCTGGCTTTGGATCAATTCACTTTCTGCCATTGCAGCCACTTTGGGAGTGAACCAGTAGAGAGAAGATTTTTCTGTCTCTTCTCTCTGTGAATATGCCTTTCTATTAAAAATAAGTAAAATCTTTTAAAAAAAAAGACTAATTTTAGGGATCAGTGTTGGGCACAGCAGAGCAAGCTACCCCCTGCAATGGTAACATCCCACGTCAGAGCCATTTCAAGCCCCAAATGTGCCACTTAGGATCCAGATTCCTACTAATGCACCTGGGAAGGCAGCAGAAGATGGCCCAAGTACTTGGACCCCTTGCCACTAATGTGGGGAGTCAGAACGTGGTCACATGGAGAATGAAGGTGTGAGTGTGTGTGTGTGTTTTCTCCCCTTCATCTTTCAAGTAAATACATTTCAGGGGGAATAAGGAGTTAATTTTATCTAATAAGGATTTCATCTCAATTAAATTTTTAAAAAGCCAGATTTAGCAAATCCATGCATGGGTTGCAGGACCTGTTCTGAGCACTCACCTGCTGGATGTTGAGCTGCTCAGTGATGTTGAAGTGGTTTTGCAGCTGAAGTGCGGTATAAGTGCCTTTACCATTTTGGCAGTCCCTGTCGTGAGAAACAGATGTCATGACCTAGAAAAGCAGCTGTGGCTATTGGCTGCCCCTGTCGAGGGCTAAGGATGAAGACAAGAGTCAGCTGTTGCCCTCTACAATTCACACGTAAGATGGATGGTCACGTGAGGCCTCCTTGGCCCGTGGCACCTGTTATTCTTAACTTTATCCCCCATGTTGCTAATAGTTACATTTTTAGAACAGATAGGAAAGGATGTCCTTCTGTCCTTTGTGCTGCTGTGGACAACATGTTTACAGACTGAGAATAAATTTTCATGAAAAAAGAACACACAAGATGACACTTGGTATGAAATAGATGGATTATGAAGTACGGTTATATGTCACTGGTGGGGATTTGTTCAGAGAAGCACATGCAGGGGCAACTTTGACAGAGCGGGAAACATCACAGGATGTATTTACGCCAACTAAAGCAGCTACAAAGTCACCAGGCAATGCAATCTTAGGAGACCACTGTCTGTGATGTCTGCTACTGAGCCCAGTATCACTAAGCAGCACACACTGAGTATGTTGCTTTTGTTAAAAGATCCTTTCAAATCCCTGCCCAGACCATCCTTCTTCCCTATTTTTAGAGTTGGCCTTTACTAACTAACCAGATGCTTTGTCACATAGTCTGAAGGTGATGATGAAGACAGGGAGGAGCCACAGATCATCCAGATGTTCGGTGTAGTTTGGCCATTGATCCAGCTTGGCCATCTGCGTGAAACAGCCTCCCCCCTCTAGGCCTTAGCCCCCTGTCTGAATGCCTGCTGAGCTCAACTGAGAAGGGTAGTCCCCATTTGACACATGCTCCAGTCACAAAGACAGGGACATCTCAGGGTTCCAAAGTCGGACCAAGAACTTGGCCCAGGATTCCCATGTGGATGGCAGGAAGCCAATCACTTGAACCGTCATGGCTGTCTCCTACCATTTGCATTAGCGGGAACTGGATCTAGAGCCAGGAGTCAAACCCATGTTCTCTGACATGGGTCAAGCATGTCTTTAAACTATGGATTACGTGCCTGCTCCTTCTATAAATATTCTTACATGTCAGAGAAAAATTTATGTAGACAATTAACTATAAGAACAGGTGTCACTTTATCAAGTTGTCATGATTTGGAATCATCCGCAGTGTTTTTGAACAGGACTTCTCACAGGATTCCCTGAAGGCATTTAAGGGTCACCCCAGGGATAACTGGAGACAGGAACCCTGGGAGCTTAGCTTCCCAAGGGCTCAGAGGCTTCCAGTGAAAGGACTGTCTTTCTGGTCAATTCTTATGATCTCTTTGCTAAGATTAAAGAAAAGCTTATCTCTGAAATTACAATGTCTTATCAGTAGGGTAACAATAAAAGTACTCTTGAAAGCAAACTTCTCATTCTGGACAAAAGCACATTCCGGACAGAAACGTCACTCTTCATACCTGTAGACATGTTCAAAAGTGAGCTCAATGTCGGGTTTATTGAATATCAAGCCAGAGAGATAGTACTTCCACTCCTCATTCAGGAGATAGGGTGTGTCCAAAACCTGCAACGTATGAGCAAGCGGTTTCCTGTAAGACAGCTTTGCATCAATATCTAGGCATCAAGCAAAATGAATATCAGATTCAATATGTTTTTGAGACTTTTTCCTATAGGATTTTTCTCACTGATTATTAGCTTAGAACAAGAAACTACTAGTATAGTTGAAAACAAATCAATTGACTATTGGATAGCAGAAATCAGAATTTTCAGAAAACAAATCACTGTTATTTTGGCTTTATTTTAGTAAGCAATGAACACTTTAGAAGTGGCAGTGCAAGAGATGGCTTCAGAAAACTACATAAAGCTGCAGCAGCTGACTCAGCTCCTGACCAGGGCCCCAGGACCAGCTGAGCTGCCAACCGCCCTTCTTGGCTCTGTCTCAGATGCATTTGGTGAGAAATTAAACTCACTACCCTGTCTGTGTTTGATAACAGGTAGACTCTTCCTTTCCCAAAATGTGTAGGACCAACCATGTTTTTAGAGGTCAGATTTTGGAATATTTGCATACATATAATGAGATACACTGGGTAAGAAACCCAAGTCTTAATAACAAAATTCCTTTGTGTTTCCTGGACACCTGACCCACGGAATCTACTGGCAGATTTTCTGAATGTGGCAGTGGACACGTCTCCTGGTGTTCTCAGCCACATATGGAAACCACGGTTGAGGAAAATGCCCCACACCCCCTCCCACCCTGAATAGTATGGTCCACACCTGACACTTATTACAAAAGCAAGAACACTAGCTTTTTTGCTGCTTTTATTTTACAAATAGAAAAGAATCTCAACTTAAGGAATTAAAACCAAACTGCTCACATTTCTGTGCTATCCTGGAAGGAACCCACAAGTCACATGGAAGTCTAAGTTTCCATATAAGGATTCTCCTCTAATGAGTAGGAAAACATTTACCTGAAATAGCTTCCTGTTTGCATAAGGCTCACAGACCAGTTTTTCCATATTTGCACCAACGACAAAGGCAACAACCACAAGGAGCATCATTATCCAGGAGAAGAGGAAGCTTAATCCAGTTCCACTGGAAACAAACAAAGTTAGCAATTTTGCAGGGAATTGATCAATATTGTGTGGACTAGGACTGGAAGCACCAGGCCAGGCCAGACTCCAACACCATCTGGTGCTCTGGAGGACCAGAGGAGATGTGTGACAGACTAGGCTAGGTCTCAGCCTGAACCATGTGTGAGCTGTATGGGGGTATGGAAGAGCCATGGCTGGGTTGAAACATCCAACAGTAAGAACCAGATTGGGTTGAAGGCCAGTCAGGAAAAGCCACTGTTCCTGCTAGGACAGGGGGTGAACCGAGTAGATCTGGCTCATGGACCCACTGGTATGCGCGAAATCTGGCACTTGGAGTTTCTGATGGAGGAACCTGAACAACTTCTCTGGCAGGACACAATCCCCTGCAGATAAGCGCAAGAAGCACAATAGGAAACAGCCCAGAACAGGCAATGGAAATTATCCCACTGGCATATACATGGCATGGGTTGGGGACAAACTAGGCTGAACCTGTTCATATCACCCGCTGGCAAATTTGAGCACCAGAACAGAGTGTGGGTCGAGCCATGGTTCGGTTGCGACACATACCAGTACACAACAAGTAATGCCAAGGTGAGATGAGCCGTACCAGATGTGGTTGCAGTGCCCAAACAGCACATGTGATAATCAGGGGGAGGAGGCAAAGCCAACAGGGGAAGGTGGGCTCCCTTGCTGGACAACTACTTCCCTTGGAAAGTGTGAGTTGGGATGGGGGCAGATCAGACTAGGCAGGGCTATAACACCTGTGGGCCTCATGTGAGCTAGATAAGGGAAGGGCCACGGTGGGTTGACTGTTCTGACTGGTCCAAGAAAAAATTAGAGTGGGTGAGGGTTGGTTGGGCTTAGCTGCAGCATTAGCTGGCAGAGGCCAGCACTGGGAGCTAATTCTGTCAAGTCAACTGCCAGAACCACTTGGAGAGTGCATAATCTGGGAGTGGGTGTGGCCTAGAAAGGAAATAGTGGATACCTCCCTCGGGGTTACCACTCTCACTGGACAGCACGTAAACCAGAACAGGGGCAGGGGTGGCTAGACAGAAAGGCACCTGCCAGTAGGTATATGGGCTGGATAGTAGGTTGGTTGGATTGAACTAGGCTTCAATGCCCATTGACATGTGCGAGAGCTAAATGGGATGTGGGACAGACTGGACAAGACTGCGGTACATACTGGCAAGCATGGGAACCAGGGTAGGGGGCAGGCCTGGTGGGGGTTGTGGGGAGTCGCCCCAACTAGGCTGCAGCTCCCACTGGTTTGCGTGAGGACTAAGTGTGAAGTGGGTAAGATTGAGTTGGACTACAACACCTGTTGGTTCACGAGGAAGACAGGGTTGGAAACAGAACGGACCCAGCAATTGCAACAACCAGGATGTGCATAAGCTGATTGGTGTGACAGATGGTGTTGGAGTCTGTACTAGCAAACTCACGCAAGAATCAGGTCTGGGATCATCTCAGATGAAGTTTCTTTGGAGATCCCTCCAACTGAACTGCTGATCTTAGAACCCCAACCATGAAGACACTGTCAGCCAGTGAACTCTGAATAGGTTTCTTTGCAATTGGAACTGTGAGATTGGCAGCAATCCAGAACTGATGAACTATCAAAACTGTTTGAGCAGGACCCTCGGAACATGCCTCCTGTTGGGGATCTGGGATGGGTGGGAGGTTGGGTGGGTCTTTTCCCTTTGTTACTCCCCTAACCCCAGACACAGGGAAAAATGATAATACTAGTGTGGAAGCAATGGTATTACCCACTTTCACCCTGTAGCCCTTGACCCTTTGTACCCTAATCAAATAAGTAAGATCATTAAAAAATAATTGAAGTATAAAAAAAAGAAAGTCAAATTAGAAATAACCTCTATGACAGCTGCTTTGTAAAGGAGATCACCATGTGTTGTTCATAGTGTTTTAGCTTGTCTGTGAAACTGCCATCAACTTAGATTTTTATGTTAGTTCTTATACTTGATGAAAGTACCCAACGCAAGGAAGGTACAACCACATACCACCCAGCCTGTCCACAAGCCAGTGTTGTGAGCGGGACCTCTGGGCAAATCTTTGTGTCTAGTGGAGTCCATTGACCCCAGTTGGTAGAGACTTGCATGCTCCACTGGAGCCCAGAGTGGGTGGGCCACAAGGCATGAGTTCACGCAATGCTTGGTCCCTTGTGTTCCCACCAATGTGTGACAAAGCTGAGGAATGGAGCAAACACTCACACCATGAGGAAGATGCCTCCAGTGTTGGAGACGCAGCCTCGGGTGGTGGGGGTGGCCAACTGGTTAAAGCCGCACACGCCGAACAGTAAGCCCAGGACAAAAAAAATCACGATGAGGATCAGCAGGCAACAGATGATCAAGCAAGCCAGCCACCTGATGGAGCAAACATAGTGTCACTACACAGGAGGCAGGCTAGCTAGGAGAAAGCAAGAGCAGTTGAGGGTTTCTTGACAATTCACTCTCAGAGGACTGCGCCACTGGGGAAGAGACTCCTACCCCTCAATTCCTCCAAGCCAACTGGGAAACACCCACTGTTATTGTGGCTTTGAGGTTCTGTGTCTTTCTCTCTTAATGGCTTCTTCCTCAACCTTGAACCCCAAGGGGATTTCACAGCACTCTTGAATGGGGCTTGCACATTTTTTCAAACAGTCCTTCTGTCTCCTTCCATGTCCCTGATACTGGAAGTGCCTCTTGCAATGATACCAGGATGTGGACAAATCATGATTAATGTTCAGATGAAGATACACTGTGCTCTTTTCCCAGAGCCTTCTTTACTGAACCGGAAGCACTCGACACGATGGCTGTGAGGAGTACTTAGAACTTTATTGACCATCTTCAATGAGATTTCTGCAGCATGCAAAGTTCCCCTGGGCAAGGCTCCCAGAGGACAGATGAGGATAATGGACCCTCCGCCAGGTCTCCCTAGGATTCCCGGAAGGTGCAGGCTTTCCTGGCAGCTGAGACTATCCAAAGGTACAAATGCTGCCCAAAACTTAAGATGCTAAAAAACTGACAATCTGCTGCTTCCTGACAGAAGTTGGTACTGAAGCTTTTCATTCAATTAAGAGCCATCTCAATAATTACACAAGAGCTGCCAGCAGCATGCTGTGAGGGATTGTTCCAGAAAGTGGGAACATAGGATTAAATAAGTCATGGACTCTGATCTTGGGAAATCTTTTTGAGTTAGTTAAACTTCCTTTTGAAGAAAACTTACGTCCTGGGCAAAGAGATGAGGGCAGGAAAGTGGGTAGCTGGTAAGGGGAGAGATGGTGGTACTATTCTCATTTGTGAAGCTGATTTTGAATAACATTGTAAGGTCACTGACAAAGGGTCTGGCTTTGTTTTGTTCTGTGGGGTATCCACCCTCTGGGGGGCACATGGGAGGGTTCTGGGGGGCTTGTTGAGTACAGAGCGATGGCTCAGACACAATTCAAAAGCCCACCTCTGCCACATTCTAGTAGACCTTGAGTGGTGGGACATTTGATTTCCAGGAATCTGTACTTCCTTGTCATCAAGCAGGGTTATCAAGGGAATACAACCGAGGAATTTCAGAGGGTGTCAAAGAGGCACTGTACAGAAGGTGCTTGGTTGGACGCCCTGCACTTCTCTCCTACATGCTAGCAAACATTGTTATCCCTTTGTTAGTTGTTCCCCTTCATGAGAGAGTACGCCAGTGGGAACGAGTCTCCCGCTCTCCACGGGCTGGGGCAGCATGGACGGTTCTGTCTGTGGGCTTAGCTTTCACAGAGGCAGGTGCAACTGACTTGTCGAGGAGCCTCTCGGTCTCTGCAGCTGGCAAGTTCTTCCCTCCTGGCGCTCTGTCTGGGTGTCAGTCATCCTGTCTTCCCCCAGGGCTGAGGTTCAGCTAAGCCGCTCACCTTAGCAATGTACAGTTAGAATCCACCAATTTGAAGAGAATCTTTTTCAAATATTCTTCTTCTTAGTTACTTTTAAGTTTTAAAATCCTGGCTTGAAAATTATAACAAAGAGTCTAGTAAACACCAATGGCATCAAAGCTCCAAGCTACTGAATATTTGGCTCAAGAACTGTCAACTTTCAACATTTTTAGAAAAATACAGAACATGTCATGAATTCACACATCATTATATATGGGGCCACATAACCTTCTCTGTGTCACTCTGAGTCTCCTGTATATATTATCTGAGGGACCACCACAATTCTTTTAACGAGCATCCACCAGGTTTGGCATGTTTCAATTTGCTTTCATAAAATTATCCTTGCAAAAGATCCCCTATTTATCCTGTCCCATTGCAAGGTTCACTCTCCTTGAGTGGATAAACAAGCACTCACCAGTAGGAATCAACTTCTTCCACTTTGGGCAGAATTTTGTGTAAGTAGTCCTCGGACTTATTCATGTACCCAGTAAGATTGTTCAGTGTCTCCTGGATGGGCAGCTGTTGGGTGACACTGTCGATTCTGGAACCAATAGAATTCAGGACCTTTTTGAGCTCTGAAAACAAAAGCACTTGGGTCATGCATTTGTCAGACGTCAGTCTTTTCCCATGTCATGTATATACTCCATTACATTACGATTCCATGGCAAGCATCAGTACAGCCACAACTACCACAAAGCGACCACTTAACAAAAGAGCCAGGTGGGAGTGCAGCTGTCACTGGGATGACAAAATCAGGCCAGAATTTTCCTTCGACTTACCTCAAGAATAACAACAACAACAATAAATGGGCCTAGAGGTGAGAGTGTCTACTGTGTCAACCACATGGCAGGTGCCTTCATCAGCTGTCACTCCTTCTTATCTGCTGATATGGACATTCTGAATCTCTGTTGGACTCCCAGTCACCCTAGGCCAGAGATTTTTGTCACCTGCCTGCACATCTGTTGTTTAGAAATCACTGATACTAGGACTGAAACTTGTGATTGTCCAACTCCAAAGTTCTTGTTACGTGGTTTTGGAAAATAAATAATAGCTAGTCCTCCAACCATCGTCTTATTTGTTAACATCTTACGTGACATACTTGCATGTCTCCTGCATAGGAAAAGCAATATTCCCAGTGTCCAGGCCTCTTCTGTTGATACTCATCCTAACGTCTCAGACATGAGCTAAGAGCAGAGAAACACCAGTTTTTGGAAAATGTCTGTCACCGCTGACAGCTTCTAGGTTCAAAAGTTCCTGGGCTGCAGGTGTCTCCTGGACCAATACTCTGAGGTTGTCACCCTGAGGCTGCTGCAAGAACATACTAGGGGCTCATTGATAGTATAAAGCATGAGAGTGGATGTGGAAATAGGCGCACCTCTGTGCCACAGCAGAAGGCAGAGCATCAGTACTCACAAGGGTCTTAACCTGGGCCAGGCGCAATTGCTCAGTGACTTACTCCTCATTTTCCAAGCGCCAGCATCCCACATGGGCGCTGGTTCATGTCCCAGATGCTTCACTTTCCATCCAGCTCCCTGCTTCTGGCCTAGGAAAGTATTGGTAATGGCTCAAAGCTTTGGGACCTTACACTCGCATGGAAGACCCAGAAGAAGCTCCTGCCTCTTGGCTTTGGTTCAGCTTAGCTTCAGCCATTGCAGCTATTTGAGTGAACCAGCAGATGGAAGATCTTTCTCTGTTTCTTTTTCCCTCCATAAATCTGATTTGTATTCCCAATTAAAATATACATATATACATGAACAGGGTCCTGCCCCCGCCGCCCCGGCAAAGCTGTGGTCCAGAAAGCCCCTCACAGGGTGGAATCTTCTGCCAAATGTGCTTTTCAACAACATGAAATTGGGGCATCAAAGACACTGAATGGGGTGGTTGAGTGCCTGGGATTTGGTTGCAGTTCCTGGCGGTTTGTGTGAGAAAACACCAAGGACCCTGGGCTGAGACAACTCCATGGCCCTTTCTTAGCCCTGGGATTCTGAACGATGTGGTGTGTAAGCTGTCGGCCCCTCAGGGCCCCTGCTGCTTGGCCCACTCTGCCCCCACACCCCATGCAGCACCCCCAGTTGGGCCACCCCAGTATGTAGCTGGGCCATCTCAGCATCCCCCTGAGCACTTCTGGATGAAGGTCACGCCTTGTGCATCCCCATCTCCAGTGTCTGGCAGGACATGGCACCAAGGTGACACTCAGAAAGCATGTGAGACCGAACAGCCCAAAGGTGGGAGCTAAGAGGTGAGAATGAACACCCAGCAGCCAGGGCGCTGGGGCCATTTCTGTGTGCACAAGCAGTAACATCACATGCCACAGGCCTTGCGCATGCGTGCAGTGTGCTTCGCTTTGTCAGACTTACAAGAGAAGGCCACGCGCATGGGCAGGAGTCCAGAGAGGGAAAACAAAACAAAAATAGTGAAAGCTTAGTAAGCGGTGGCTGCATAACAAGCACACGTTTGGTGTCAGATATTAGTGTGGCAAGTTCACAATGGCATTTGTCGTTAACATCTTCATATTTCAAAGTAGAATCTTAAACAGAAAGGAATTTACAACCATCGAAAGTACTGTGCAGTAGAGAAAAGGCCTTTGTCCCACATTCTTAATTGATTGAAAGAACACTGTTTTGGGGGAAAAAATCGAATACCTCTAACCGGTATTTTAAAACCACTTAGTTGTGCTGGGTTGTGCTGTCATACACAACACCCCAACGTGGCACCGGTTAGATCCCAGCTGCTCCTCTTCCAAGCCAGCTCCCTGCTAACACTCCTGGGAAAACAGTGGAGGATGGCCCAGTGTTGGGCCCATGCATTCATGCGGGGGACCTAGAAGATGCCCCCCAGCTCCTGGCTTTGGCCCGGCCCAGCCCTGGCTGTTGCTGCCACCTAGGGACTGAACCAACAGGGGGAAGAGTTCTTTCTCTGGCCAAAGGTGAAAAGCGGCAGGTAATTTTTGAGAAAATAAGAGATCATCTCATCCAGGTTCCGAGAGTTCTCTTCCCAACAAATGGGAGCTGCGCTAAGAACTGCTGTGTCTGCATTCCTTCTGCGTGCGCTCACCCCAAACGCCGGAACCCAAGGCAGCACAACGCAGCCACTCAAGGCCTTGCTTCTGTCTCTACCAGCACAGCCCGGAGAGGCTGAATCACCCCGTGCTGGCATCAGCAGCGAGATGAAAACCCTCCTGGAAGACAAAGTTCGTAGGTATGGTGCTTCTAAACAAAACCGAACCAATTTTAACTTCATTTAGAAAAGACAAAAATGGCAGCATTTCCCCAGTGGAGGTCTTCAGTCTATACATGTTCTGTAGGTATACCCACGGGGTCATCAGTCTACACGTGTTCTGTAGGTATACCCACGGGGTCATCAGTCTACACGTGTTCTGTAGGTATACCCACGGGGTCATCAGTCTTACACATGTTCTGTAGCTATACCCACAGGGTCATCAGTCTACACGTGTTCTGTAGCTATACCCACGGGGTCATCAGTCTACACATGTTCTGTAGCTATACCCACGGGGTCACCGGGCTCCCACCCCGCCCCGGTGTGGCCCCAGGCACATAGCCCTGCCTAGATGATGCCACTGTTTTCAATAAAAGGATTGCTATTATCTTTAAAAAATCTATGTAGTTTTTTAAATTGAATTCAGTTCATTTGGTTTTCAAGATGTTTCTGAGAAATCACTTTATGTTTAAAGTTTTATTTTTTTAATTTTAACCAATTGGTCTTTGTAATAATAATAAAAAAGTATTCCATTTTATATGGAAGACAGAGAGATACACAGAATAAGCACTTTCGTGCTCTGACTCACTCTCCAAATGCCCACAGCAGCCAGGACCGGGCCGGGCTGACGCCGGGAGCTAGGAATTCAGGTCAGGTTTCCCCAATGGGTAGCACAGGCCGGGGCTGGCTGCCTGCCCGGCGTCTCGGCAGGAGCTGGATGGGAAGTGCAGTAGCCAGAGCTTGAATCAGTGCTCTGCATGTGGGAATCCCAAGCCGTGTCTTAACAGGTGCATCCCAAGAGATGCTTTAAGAGGAAAAGAACCACACCATCCCTAACATCATATTTCTTTGTACCAACTCACCATGCAATTCTCAACACAGGGAAGGACAAAATTCCCTCAGACCAGGCATCTCACCTGCTATGACGTTCGTTGTTTGGTTTTGCACTCTCGCAGGTATGTCATTAAAGGATTTGTTGCCCTAGAAAATATTTCAAGTAAATTGGTGCACACAGGAAAATGAAGACCCGTTGACTAGCATGCGTTTCTCAGCTTGGTATGAAGTAGAGAAGTAAACTCAAAATATAACACTTATCTTGAAGCTGAAATTATAATACGGTCGTCAAAAAACATTTTTTTAAATTTTAATCCCTCAAAGATCCAGCTAAGAGTTCTCATATAAGTTGCCTCCATAATTTTTTCCTCTGTAATTTTTGCATCAACATATTCTCTTACCCAGACTGCTAAGAATTAAAACAGCAGTGTCAGTATCTGAAATGTTGGTTGTTAATTGGAGGCCAATGTGTTTGGAGACATTCTGGTTATCACGATCGTTGGGTGCTACCAGCAATGCATAGGAACATGCTAAACACTAACAAAGGCTCCCCAATGCACAGGAGAACCCCACAACCAAGAACTAGCAACGCCAGAGCATCACCAGGGCTGGGACTGAGAGGCCCTGACCTGCACAGGCAGCAAGTGGGGCTCTCAAATGGAATTGTACTTTCCAATACAATTACAAAGTGAAATGAGAGCTCTCGTTTCACAAAATAGCGTTCCCAAACACAGTTTACAAAGCACCAAAATTGAGAGAGACTTACCCCAGCAAAGGAGCCAGTCTCTATGGCTTCAGAGCTAAATCCATGAGACCCAAGAACTCAGCTAAACAGCACCTCTTTCCTCTGGGAAGGGTTTGATTTGTGCCCCAACACTCTGCTGCTACAAAGAGCGCTAAGGGGCACAGCAGGCTCTAACCCCCTCAGGCTCACAGTGACAGTTCCCATCCCCATTGCTAAACTGAGTGCCACAAAGAAAATACACACACGCTGTCTTGTGCATTCCTGCTGGACTGGACTTTGTGTGTGCGTGCCACTCTGGATTTCCCCGCATTGATACTTGTGACGTCACCAGGCATGGCAGTCTCTGGTTGGAATGTGCCTTATGCGGCTCAATCCCCTGGCTCTTTCTTCACTTAACAAAGGCTGACTATAGCAGACAAAGACCAGGGATTCAAGTGCCTTGTTCAAAACATGACTTATGTCAATATACACAGATTTTCTAGAGATGCAATGCTTCATAGTCAAAAATAAAACTTCTCTCTCCGTTTCCTATACACCCAAGACACTCTGTGTGTGTGGTATCTGCTGGATGCATGAACAGTAACTACTAGTGAACTCTTGGGGGAAATTATGATATTTCAGATCATACTATCCCTGATGTTTTGGGATTAACAGGCTAGTGGGGGAAAACAGACATGCTAAATAAACAATACCCATTAGGAGGGGCTTCACACAATATTTGCAATGCTGCAAGAGTTGTGTTAAAAAAGGCTCTGGTCTAGTCAAGATGCTAGGACAGGCCTGGTTACAAGGTGATACAGAAAACTTTAGAAATCAAAGAGCTGAGGGAAGGGAGGAGAGAGAGAGCGCTGGGCAGAGGTATTGTATGCCCACATGGTGGAAGTGAGAAGGAACAAAAAGAAAACCAGCCTGGTTCAGAATTACTGTGGAGTCCGGCACTGTACCTGCCAAGTGCCATGCCTAGGGAAGCAGAGGGTGCTGGGACTCTCTCCAGCACACAGCACTTTGTCCACAACAGCAGCTGAACAAAAAGGTCTTGAAATGGAATAGTGAACAAAATTACTTGGAAGATGATAGTCTTCACCCTTCATGGTGACCCCTGTAGAGAATTTCATGCTGGTGAGGTTTTCATTTGTCTGTTTTGCTGTTTCATATTTTCTTATATATCAGGTTCTCCTTACAAATGTTATAAACTACTGCATTCAAAAAAGTAAACAAGAAACTTACCTCTTCAATCAGGGCATTCAGGTCAGTATTAACAACATTGTTGATGTTGTTAAGTTCCTGATCAACTGGTGGCAGCTGCAAATTTGTAAAACAAAATAGAAGGCAAGGAGGTTATCCACAGAATCATTCCTCCTTAAAAATCATTTTGTAGCCAAGGTACAAGGTGACCATGTTACACAGGCAGCCTCCGTTTCTTTGGCACAAGGGAGGTTTAGGGAGCTCACTCTAAGCTCAGAGTGGCCTTGACAAGTGCCAGCGTGTGGCTGCCTGGAGCTCTCTTGCTGTAGTCAGTTAAAAACGAGGCAAAGAAATGAACACAGATGCAATATCCATGACTTTATCACTGCAAGTTCCAAATACTGAAGCAAAAAGCAGTATACAGCCTTCAAAAATGACTTTTTAAAAATTAATTATGTTGCATTATGTGACACAGTTTCATAGGCTCTGGGATTCTCCCAACCTCTCCCTGTGCCCTTCCCCCATGGTGGATTCCTCCACCTTCTTTGTACTATTACAGATCAAATTAAGTCCAGATTCTTTCTTTGGAAACATGTACCAAGCATAGAGGCCTGTATCTTATTGTCCACATAAATTCAATCGTGTCTTGGGGAGACCATCTCTGGTCTGAAGGTAGAGCTGGCAGAATATTATCCCGATCGATTGAAAGCCCCAGCACAACATCAACAACAGTTTACAGCATTATGGAATTAATTGACATGGTATTGAGTAATCAATATGTTAAAACAATGCAAGTTCTTAACCACATCCTATGACTACTTCATTGACATTTCAGTTTTTGTTTATACATAGAACCGGCTGCTATACACCTTAAAGTGACTATAGGGTACTATTCAGCTGTCTCATATCTATTTTCATTTTAGTATTTAGCAGTTTATAGTGTTGAAGCATAATTTTGCTGAACTTGACAGATTTTAGGATAGTCTAAACTGGCTTATAACTCTAACAAGGCATTTGTCAACAGTTGAGGTGCAGAATAGTTTTAGGAGGGGTGTGCAGGGAAATCTTCAATACCCGAGTGAGGAGTAACTAATCTTTGTGTCCTGCCTAGTAAGGCATATGTAGATCCTCGCTGACTGTTTCCTGTCGGGTTCTAAGCTTTCCTTGTTGTTCTCTATCTATCTAATTTTTTGGGGGGCGGGGGAGGGTGCTCCAGAGCGACCCTGCTGGTCATTACAAGAGAGGGTGAGGATCCAAAGTTGGAACTAAGTAAGGACCAGAAAAAGCTCCTCTCCCTAGTCCCGAAGGAAGTTGACTGTTCTGCAGAAACAACTTTTAAAAGTCATCTGGCCAGTAGTCACATCCCTCAGCTGTCCGGAGTGGGGGGTTTTCTGGTTATGGCATCACATGTACACCTGCAGTGAACGTTCCAGCTGTCACCAAAACAGGGACGGACGTAGGACCTCTCCCACAGCGTGCCAAGCATGTAGTCTTCCTCAGTGACAGTCCCTTGGCAGACGTGGGGAGACAAATGTAATCATAGGAGGACCTCAGACAAAGCTGGGGTGAAGACTATTCTGCAAAGTAATGGCTGATTGAAAAACTTCCAAATGAAAAAGAGAGACATGACAGCCACCCACACACGGGAGCCAGACCTCAACCCTGAGACTGAAAAGAAAGAGCCCTGCAAAAGAGCCCTTTCGGAAGAAAAGTGAACAAAAGCTGAACTGGAACTGTGGTAGTGCTCGGTCAAGGCTCTACGCCCCGATCCTGGTATTTGCCTAATGGTCTACAAAGTGAGGAAAGGCACTCAGATATGTGGGGGCAAAGAAACAGGATGTTGATGGCTTATCTGCAACTTGCCTTTGCAGAAGAGAACAAAATGTCTATTACTGTAAGTACTGATATAAAAAAAAATGACTAGATCGACAGATAAACAGATAACATGAGATGGCCAAGCAAACGGGGCAAACGTTCTTATTTACAGATTGTAACAGCAATTCCACGGCCGAATCCTGCAGGTTTAGGCATGCTCGAAGGTACGTTAAGAGGAAAAATTCTCCCTTAACAACTTAAATGCAGCTAAGCTCTGAATAATCGAGGAGAACTGGGGACACAGCGGATTAAGTCACTGCCTGGGACATCCACACCCCACATCCAAATGTCTGAGACTGAATCTTCCTTCACTTCCGGTCTAGCCAATGTGCAGATGATGGCCCAGTACTCAGGCCCCAGCCACTCCTCCAGGAGCTCTAGATTGCAGCTCCTGGCTTCTGTCTTTGACCTAGCACAGTCCAAGCTGAATGGCCCGAAGAGTGAACTGGTGGTTGGAAGATCTCTCTCTCTCTCTCTCTCTCCCTCTCCCTATATTTCTTTTTCCTCTCCATCTCTTTCCTTTCAAATAAATAAATAAAAATTTAAAAAATAAGTTGCTCTTCCAGGGAAGGCTTTGGCCTCACAGTTAAGAGGCCACGTCCCACGGCAGTGCCTGGGTTAGATGCCAAGCTCTTGACTCCAGCGTCCTGCCAACGCAGAAGCTGGGAGACAGCAGCGGCGACTCGGGTCACTGAATCCATGCCACTTGTGTGGGAAAACCAGACCGAGCCCCCAGCGCCCAGTTTTCAGCTCAGCCCAGCCTCAGTTGTTGTGGGAACTTAAAAATAAATTTAACTTAAAATAGTAATTGTATTTTGTTTATTTGAAAGAGAGGGAGAAAGAGAGAAAGAGGGAGGGAGAGAAAGGGAATGAGGAGCAGAAGGGAGGGAAGAAAGAAGGAAAAGAGACCAGAGTTCCCAGTTAGTTAATGACCAGTTAGTTCCTTGCCCAGCCAGCACTAGGCACCATCCAGAGGTTCAATCCAGGAACCAGCTACCCAAGCCCTCCCCCGCTTCCTCCCTGCAACAGGGGCCGTGTGATGTAGACGTGGGCGCGTGAATGCGCTCTGGATCCTTCCTTCTTTTTCAACGCCAGATTCCCTTGATTCCCTTACTCCTGCTGGAGGGACCCAACGTGGTGGCTGGATGACCCAGGGAGGATGGCAGAGCCTCGGGAGCTAGCGTTGTTCCACACAGCCCACTGCGCCCCTGCCAGGTGCACCCACATACAGCTCTGCCCCTGGGCCTTGGCACACAACCCCCAGTCTCTGCTCACCTGGCCCAGGTCGGAGTTGCTGTTCAGTTGGCGCAGGGACAACCGGATGTCACTGCAGATCTCTGCTGCTTTGTTCAAGCACTCTGGTTCGTTGAGTGACTGCTCTATGCTGGCTTTGACATCACTTAAACTCCGGTTCAGTGCACTGCTTCCGCTCTTCAGGTTGCTCAAGCTCACCTTCATGTCTTCCAGGGTCTTCTTGGTCTCTCTGATGGCTGAGGGGACACAGAACAGAGCACACAGACTCTACCACCAACAAGAGGTGCTCTACCGGCCCTTGAGGTGCACTCGGAAATAAGGTGGGATGGCAACCAAAGGAGCCTGCTGCAAAGGTGCAGGGGAGGGGAGGGGAAGGCAGGGGCATGCTGGCCTCATGGGCCAGATCCTCCACCCCGCTCTGCTTCCACTCGCCAGTCTCTTTCCAGCAAGGAGCAGGGAACAAGCACAGACCCAGGAACAAGCTGGGGATCTTACTGTGGCAATAAGTGGCCAGCGGCAGCCATCGAAGCTGTCACTGTCCAACCTTGAAGGGCTCAGTTTAAATAAGGACTCATCCCAGGCAATTTCAGTCCATGTGGACATGCAGAGCCCCCGGCATCTGCTAGCCAGAAATGGTCAGAGCTGAAATGAACCAGAGCAGCAGCTAAGAGCATGGGTTGACACTTCGCATATTCCCAGCTTGGTTATTCGCTGTGTGACCAGAAGTGGATTCTGAACCCCTCTGATCCCAGTTCCTCCTCCGAATACACCAAAACTGAGAGCTGCCCCATGTCATGCCAGCATCCCATTTCAGGATGCCAGTTCAGGCTCTGACTGCTCCTTTTCATGCCTTGCTTCCTGCTAATGTGCCTTGAAAGGCAACAGATACGACCCAAGTCCTCAGTCCCTACTGCCCACATGGGAGACCCGGATGGCGTTCTGGCCTGCTGGCTTTGGCCTGGCTTAGCTCTAGCTGTTGGGGCCACTTGAGCAGTGATCAGCAGATACAAGATCCTTTTTCACTCTCTCCCTCCCTCCCTGTGTGTCACTGCTTCCCAAATAAATAGCCTAAAAACAGTTCCAGTGGGGAAAGCTGTGATATTTAAATTAGAGGGTGCTATTCTAAGCATGTTTTCTGCAGTCACAAACAGGTGGCCCCAATGACTGCTGCAATCAAAGGTGGGAATGCCCTTAAAACCTGGGTCCCCTTCCATTCCCTGAAAACCACATCAAATGTGCCTGTTAAAAACCAAACACACACACACGCACACACACACACACATACACACACATGCACATACATGGCTGAACTTCAAAAAGTTTGTGGGAAGATGTCTTTAAAAGACACATTTGTTTTGGTGCAAAGAAAACAAAAAATCTGTGAAATGCATCCATTATTTTCTTGAAAATTCCTACAGCTCTGACACAAATGTAAACAAAACAATGACTTGTCCCACCTGTACCACAGTGAACCTGCCTGGTCTGTCTGCATGGTCACAGCCCCCAGAGGTCACCCAGGCCATCCCTCAGGGACACGAGGGAAGAGGATGGTTCCCTGAGGCCCAGGGACTCCTGAATGAGGCACAATCCGGTATCCGGGGCTCACCTGTGACCATGGCTTTGACCTCATCAAAGACGGGAATCACCACAGGTTCCAGCCGTTCAGTGATTTCACCTCCCAGCTTCATGTTAATATCTAGAATCGAAGGAGCAGAAGACACAGTGAGAGCAGGCTCTGGGCGTGTGCAGCTTTCACCACTCGCTCTCTGCACACTGTCCACGCAGGTCCCCACTCGCCTACATCCAGGTTACATGTGACCCAGTCCCCATCCAGGCACTGACTCCGGATGTAGATCTGTCTCACTCTTCTAAGTCCCTACTGAGACTGTCTCCTCACCCTCACAAGGAGCAGATTCTTCTTTACACGAGAGACACACTGTGCGTGACCGCTGTGGCCCTGACGCCTTCCGCTAAGACTGAGCTATTGCCAGGGCACCAGGGACTTTCAGACCAGACAGCTCTTTGTGGTGGACCCTGCCCTGTGTCCCCTGCCCTTGTGATGTGGCCTTTCCTGTCTGTGTTGGTGGGAGTGGTTGTAGTGTGCCACAGGATATTAACAGCATCCGGGGCCGCAACAACCAAATGCTAGCAAGTGTGCCTCCCCATCTCATTGTAACAAGACGAAGGTCACCAGGACTGTGCACCTGCCCGAAGCCCACGGCTTTTCTTGCCCTCAGCAAAGCAAAGTCTTGACAAGAAACATAAAGGAATCATCCACACCAAAGGCCCCACTCCCTGCACACAGACACTTCCTGTCACGGACCAGCAAACACATCTTCTGTTCTCCCCCTCCAACCCCCTTCCAACCCACCAACAAGCAGAGTGGCAAGCAAAAATCTAAAGCAACTTGGAAGTTCACTCACTGTCCAGATTGGAGACTACACGGTCCTTGGTGGTGTTATACTGGGCCACTATGTACCTGATTTGCTGGGGAAAACAAGTCAGGAAATTACATGGAATCACCCCTTCTGAACTTGAAAGTCACAGTAGAAAGATAACGAGAAGAAATTTAACATACAAAATGACCTCGAGTCAAATGCCAAAAAAAGGATATTCTTAGGGAGCCCTAAAAACATTAAGCCTTTTAGAATCCATGCAATAGCTTTTTGTCCCCAAACAAAATAAGACAATCTAAAAATATCACATCAGGAACAAGGCTTTTGTATTCTTTTGAAAATGATGTGCATGATGTTTTACTGCTTTGCCTTTGACATTAAAGGGGAACAGCCATCTGCATTGATTCTCTGGGCTTCTAGAAGGTCTAGCCAGCAGCCCTGAAAATTCCAAAGTCCACAGTGCCATGGGGAATGCGGGTCGCGCCCTTTACCTTTGGGGTCAGATCCAGGAAAGCCTGCAGATCCTGGAAGGTGTTGTCTGCCAGTCTCTGGGTCCTCTTCACCCGAGTCCTCACCTGCTGGTTGGCCACTAACCCATAGGTGATGCCGAGGCTGCAGAAGAGGAAGGCAGGAGGGGCCTTTACCAGCACGATCCCAGGTGCTGTGAGCAGTAGGACCCACTGGGCCCTGCCCCTGCCTTCTTGCCCTCCAGCCTTTCTGCCACCCAGTTCTCTAGCCTACCCACAAAGAGGATGGCAGACGACCCAGTTAATACACACACACACACACACACACACACACACACACACACACACACACAGAACACCTCTGCTCAGCCCCAGAAGAGACTCCAGGGAAAACAACAAAATGTGGAAATTCTCAGGCCTTCTTCGTCCTCTGGAATTATCTTTTAGTTTCTACACTGTTAAGACCAAACGCAACATGAGCTGCTTCAGTATTAAAATGCTATATTCAAGCCACACATAAAAGACAGTGCCTATTAAGTACCAAATAAGTGAGCAACATGATGTTAAATGAAAGTTAATGGTGTTAAACCAAAGTTAATGGCTACCCTTTGGGGGAGGGGTGGCTGAGGAGCAGGTGTTCACAGGCATGTTGGCCTCATGGAAAGTTATCCAGAAGCACTTGGGAAAAGGATTTTGTCCTCCACGTAAAGTTTATAAACCACTTACAAGTATCAAACATACCATGTAGAATGCGTCTTGCAGGAAAGGCAACTACATGGGAGAATTAAAAAGCAGTCTCAGGCCTTCTAAAATACCTGTATTTCACAACTTTAAGAACTCTTGATGTTGGCTAGTTATTAGTAATCCTGTGACTTAATTTGACCAACTGCTTTGTTTTTGTGGAACCTTGGAACATGAACACGTGTCATTTAAGCGCTCCTGTGGAATGTGGTCACTAGAGGGCAGCATGGAGTTGCAAAAACACATCACAATCCTTTACCTTCAGAAGCAAGTAATAAAAACGTAACAATCTGATGGCAAACGTGGATGCTTTTACAACCAGCTTTTGCAAGTGAGTTGGGAGAGGGGTGGAATTCAAGTACAGTAAACCAGTGCACTGCCTCCTCAGCCTTTGTCTTGAATCTTAATGTGTGCACTTATTTACAGGTGCCCCATTTTCTGTGCTGGAAAATCCCACGCCCCAAGCCACTCCTTAGCCCTGGGTAAGCGTGGACCACCACTCACCCTCCTGCAGTATCCATCCCTGCTGAGGAGCCCTGACTCGCTGCTAATTTCCCTAGGATGCATGTTCCTGAAGCAATATTACTAGGTCCCTCAACTTTCCCCAAGTGGTCCATGAGATGGATGTATCTAGGGCAGGAGTTAACAGGTGGCAAGAGAGGGAGCAGGAGGAACAGGCAGCTTGACTGTCACCAACTCACTGTGAAAGCCAAAAAGAGTCGCTTATTTTCGCTCTGCCTCTCGATAAAAACATATATATGTATGTATATATATATAAACATATACACACATATATATGTCTTGAGATTCAGAGGCAATATGCAGTGAATATTAACAAATTCTCTTCAGTTATTTTTAAGTTTGGGTTCGTTCTGATGGTAAAAAAAAGAATTGGACTATTGGACTGCGTCATTTGAGATGACCGCTTCGTAGTCCCTTCGTCCGTTCTACAGTGGCTGCTTAGGAAGCAGACATCATCCCCCACAGTCACAGCTATTAAGTGATGCATCCTTGACTCAGAAGGCCAAATGTTGTAGCTGTGTGAAGGAAAGATACTCAACTCACAAAACCAGAACTGTACCACGGCCATGTTCCTGAGCACTGCTTACCATGACCAAGCCGCACCACTCTACAGCAAGAGTCAGAACCAGGTTTACTGGTTTACTGGGGGTGGGGGCTCTTGTCGCTCCGCCCCTAGCATGTTCCAACATGCCATTCTTCGTGCTCCAGGACCAGCTGGTCACATAAGAAGTCCACACTGGGCTCAGGTACGACCGTGAGTGCTCCCACCTGGCCCTCACAGACCAGCCCCAGGAGACACTCTGCCTGGGCCTCCCCTAGGCCTAATCCCCAAGTCCTGATGCACTTCCCCCTTCTTGCTCTACTCTCTGTTGTACAGCCTTGAGAAGAGATGCCACTTCCGCCTAATTTAGTTGCATCCACTGTGGATACCGGGTGAAGGTGTGGTTTACTTAAAAGATGAAGCACGCTTGGAGAATCTAAGTCCGAAACTGTCCTCTGTTTCTTTATTGGGCAGATGGCTGCACCCCAAGGTGATCATCAATACAAGGAATAGTGGGCAACCCTGGGCGTCAACGCCGCTTGGCCTGTAGAAGAAGGGATCCGGCGGAAATGAAAGCACGCCTAATATTTGTAGCATTCTGCCTGTAATTCTGGAGTAGAATTCAGTGACATTCAAAGCTATTTTCAGAGCCATTCACAAGATACAGTTCGTGTTTGAAGTAACGGTGGCTAAAGCGAAGGTCTCCAAGAGGGAAAACGGAAAGCAGGTGGCAGGGAGATGGCACAGGTTGTTAAAGATGGAGTGAGGCAGCAGCTGCGCAGGTCTCAGTGAGGGCAGCACTCCGCTGGATGGTGGAGTCAGGTACCGCCATGATAGTAGACCAATGCTGCTAGGCTCCTCCCCTTAGCACACACACCTGGAAACCCTGTGTTCTTACGTGAAGTTTACCGACGTTTTTTAAAGATTTACTCATTATTTTTATTGGAAAGATCTCATTGACAGAAAGGATAGACACAAAGATGTTCCATTTGCTGGTTCACTCCCCACTGGCTGCAGTGGCCAGAGCTGAGCTGATCTGAAGCCAAGAATCAGGAGCCCTTCCCGGGTCTCCCAAGCAGCTACAGGGTCCCCAGAATGTGGGCCATCCTCAACTGCTTTCTCAGGCCACACGCAGGGAGCTGGACGGGAAGCAGAGCCCGCGTGGGATCCGAGCACTTACAAGGCAAGGAGCTTGGACAAGGTGAACTTGGACTGAGTCATCACACTGGGCCAGAAGTTCACCAATTTTCAAATACTGCAATTAATACTATACAGATCTATAGATAGTCTGATTGTACTCTATAAATCTTTTATTCATACAAACAGAGAATGGATCATTTATGGTTCCTGTTATCAATTTAGATATTCCCTATCACTCAATGTAATTTTAAGAGAAAAAATGTGTTCATGAATTGGATTTGTTTTTAACAATCACAGCCAGCCACTGGGATGTAGAATGCTCAGAGAAATTTACCTAACACAAAAAGGAGATAAAATTCTTATGACACTCTGTTCTCTGGTATTTGACATAAAACATGAGCTTCTATAAAGTACCACAAAATCTGTTGAAACTTTTAGAAGAAAACAGAAATTGTTATTTTATGCTATTCTAGTGTTATTACTCCACTTACGGAAAATCTTATTTTCTCATATACACACTGATAAATAAATACTTAGGGGTCAGTGTGACGGCATAGCATGCTAATCCTCCACCTGTGGTGCCAGTATCCCATATGGGTGTTAATTTGAGTCCCAGCTGTTTTCTTTCCAATCCAGCTCCCTGCTTATGGGCTAGGAAAGCAGTAAAAGTTTAGGTCGATGGGCTCCTGCATCATGTGGGAGACCCAGAAGCAGCTCCTGGCTCCTGGCTCCTGGCTTCACATCAGCTCAGCTCCAGTGAAACACTGGATGGAAAATCTTTCTCTCCCTCTCTCTCTGTAAAATCTGCCTTTCCAATAAAAATAAAATACATCTTTTAAATAAATGTGCACACACTCAAAGCTTTTATAAAACAAAACTAAAATTTTGTTTTGTTTTTTAAACCTAAAATTTTTTTATAAAGATTTATTTTTATTATTTTTTCATTGGAAAGGCAGATATACAGAGAGGAGAGACAGAGAGGAAGATCTTCCATCCGATGATTCACTCCCCAAGTGAGCGCAACGGGCCGATACTATGCCGATCCGAAGCCAGGAGCCTCTTCCGGGTCTCCCACGAGGGTGCAGGTTCCCAAAGCTTTGGGCCGTCCTCTGCTGCTTTCCCAGGCCACAGGCAGGGAGCTGGAAGGGAAGCGGGGCTGCTGGGATTAGAACCGGCGCCCATATGGGATCCCGGGCGGCAAGGTGAGGACCTTTAACCACTTGCGCCACCGCGCCGGGCCCTAAACCTAAAATTTTGTAACTTGCAGCAAATTTTCCTTTAAGTTTTAGTGAAATAATGACATTAGCCAATGAAAACCAAAATCATGACTGCAGCCTGACACCGACCTCTTATTTTCTAAGACAAATTTTTAATTTAAATTTTATAATAATTGGAACTCATTCTCTTTAAGAAAACTCAAGACTTTCAGGCATTGCATCACTCCTTTGTTTGCCTTTTTACATTAATTGATTGATTTTTATTGGACTAGTCCTTGGGAGAGAAGGACTCCCAACTTTTGTTCACTCCCCAGAGGGCCACAACAGCCAGAGTTGAGCTGATCCGAAGCCAGGAGCCTGAAGCCTTTTCTGGGTCTCCGATGCAGGTGCAGGGTCCCAAGACCTTGAGTCATCCACTGCTGTTTTCTCAGGCCCCAAGCAGGGAGCTGGATAGGAAGTGGAGCAGCAGGACATGAACCAGCACCCATTTGGGATCCCAGTGCTTGGAGGTGGAGGATTAGCCAGTTGAGCCAATGCCCTGGCTCCTCTTTTTCTTTCTTCTTTTTCAGAACTTGGTGTCCTCCAGGACAGGAATTGGTACTCAGATCTCTAGCACCAAGAGAACTTGGAACTGGGATTCTATTCATCGTGTGCTTGTTAGCAAGGCGCAAGGCTGACTTGACCGAACTCAGTAACCTAGGCAAACCCACAAGTCAGGTAGAGCTGCCCTTTTCCTTCCCAGGAGCTTTCTGAAATTCTGAAACATGTTTGCATGACGAGTGCAAAGGGCAAGAAAGGAGGAGAAGTCTGGCTTTTTCAGGACATATCTGCAGCAAGAGGTGGAGATTCAGTCACCTGCAGATAATCAAACAGACTAACACACGCCTGTTGGGTCCAGCCCGACAATACATCACACTGTGGCTGCCTCTGGAGGCTGCGGCAAAGACCAGGACTACAGATATCCCACACAGGCCAGGGGGTCCTCCTCCTCAACAGCTATGCACTTTTCAAAGAGAAAAACAGGAATGGGTGGAAAACTATCAACATTCAAGCTTAACTTAAAAACCCAATCCATTTCATTGTAATATTTAAAACCGCTAAGTGGAATTGAGCCCAATAAAGACGTGTGGATTGCTCCAGGTTTCTGAAAGAATGCATTAATGTCAAGTTTACCTACTGAGAGTGCTCAGCCTCTGCTGAAGTCAAGGCAAGCGGGGCCTTGTGCTCCTCAAGGGAGCCACCCCACACCTGCCTCTTTCCCTCGCTCGCTGCTGCTGCTGCTCAGGTTGGCATTCCTGTCCCTTGTAATTTGTATCTAACTTCATGATTCCAGGGACACACCGTCTTCTCCATTTCATCAACTCCTTGCACAGACATCTTCACTCTCCCCAGCCACTTGTGACCACTTGCCAACAACACAGAACTAAGATTCAACTCAACAGTACTTACACACTTGCACAAACAGGTAGGAATAGCAAAAGGAAGACATCAACATAGTAAGCTGAAAAGCACATGGCAAACAAGATTCAGCTTTTTGCCTGAATTTAAAGTAAAACAACAAGAAACTCATTACCTTATTCTCAATTAGATCTAATTATATATAAACTTAATGTATTAAGCAACATCAAATTAACTTTAAACTTGTCACCTAATCATGCACAATTTCTTGACTTTGGCTTAATTGCTTTGAAACATAAAATTATGATTTTTTTTCAAATTGATGTTTTACTTGGATAGGAAAAGATTTAACTCAATGTGTAAGAGGCTGTAGAATAACAGACTACACTCACATTCTGAGAAATTACTCTGACAACATTTTTCGAAAAAATGTTCTCAAACTGTATTTGGAAGGAAAAAATTCATCTAAATTAGTTTAATGTTCTCAAAACACACAAGAAAAAAGCTTTTTAAAAATTTGTTGATGGGTGGGTTAATTTTTAAAAAAACAAGTACAGATCAGTTATAGTTATCATGTATTCATTTTGCTTTCATGCATTTAAAATTAAGGTAAAGAATTCAATTAGTTCAGTGTGAACTAGATAACACCCAATTACATGTAATGTAAATTGAAGCCCAGTTTAAAAGGAAGAAGAATTCGAAGATAGAAATTCAAAAAAGGAAAAGCACTGAAAGCTCATTATTAACAGTATGAACACTGTTCAGGTAATTAATAACTACACACAATAACAAATTCACACCAAGTGAACACTGTTCCTGGCCAGGTCAGTAGTCACCCTGACCAGGCTCAGAGGGGGACTCTTTGCAGCTGGTGGTGTGCCCTCACAGCCTCGACCCTGGTTTCTTGGTGAACAGAAGGGAGAGACCCAGCTCCCTGTGGGTCGGAGGGCCTCTGGCTCAAGGGACGCCGCTCTGACCCGGGCAATGGGCAGCCACCACAGGCTGCAGGTGTCCGGATTCCTAAGAGCACTTGGAAAGCAAAGCAGACAGGCAAGGACACCTGGAATCGCCATGGGCTGGATCCCATGCTGCTTTTTGGAATTTAATGCGAAGAAACAGAACCAAGTCATTTTCAGAGGCAGAAAAATAAAGTGAGAGACAGAGAGAGAAAAAAAAAAAAGAAAAAAAAAACCCAGAGGAAGGCTTACAGGAAGAAGACAGACGCCCATTCCCAAGGCCCCAGAAAGAACACAACCAACTCCTTGGTCAACCTACGGCTCCCAACAGTAGCCAACACGTGCACTGGATTCTGCCGATACACATGGTGTGAAGGGCTGTTACTCCTCTACCGCCAGCCAACCCATCACCAGTGCTCTGAGCGACTGGCAGAGCTTTGCCTTCTGTTGTTGCGAAGATTTCTGTGCAATGCAGTTTACAGTCCAGTTGACTCAAAGACCTGAGCCAGGCTGACTCCACAAGAGACAGAAAGCCTCTGTGGGATGGGAGTGAGCTGTGTCTCCTTCCAGCCACAGACCCCACATCTTTTGCAGCGGAGCTCCGTGGCTGGCTTCTTGCCAACCCCGGGCAAACCTGGCCCTGCACTTGGGCCTCCCTTGTTTCATCTTTGTCAGATTGACCGTGTCCCACGCTTGGTCTGCAGCCTGCTTTCACTTCACCTTGCTGTGATGGTGTTGGCCATGAGCCTGTCTGGCGCTGCCCGGTCATTGCATACCAGTGAAGGGGCGCCACCCCCAGTATCTTCCGGGCACTCTGACTTATCTTCCTGGACTTACAGCTAGCATGTCAACTGCCAGGCTTTTCTGTTTTCTACTTCAATCCCCAAAGACCACTTCCTCAACACAACTAGAAAAATGCTGTGGCTGCAAGGCCAGTGTGATGGGGAACGCTTCCGGATGCCCGTGCCCCTGCAGCTCGTTCCTTCGGGCCACGCATTGTTCATTTCTGCTGCTGAGTGTAGCGTGGGGAGAGGGAATAAGGAAACCAGAACCCAGATTCACAACAGGAGCACCGGCTCACGGCACACAGTCCTGAATCCCACGCGGACTCAGCCAAGGTCCAGCATCTTCAAAGCCACCTATCGGGTCTGTCAATCAGCCAGATACCTTTAGTGGCAGCAGGAACTGCAGCAGAACAGCCCACACGGGGAAGAGACAGTAGTAGGTTAATAACAAATTCAAGAACAATTGTGTTTGTTATGAGAAAGCTCATGGCTTTGACAATATTCTCAAATCTCTAAATTTGGGGACAGCCTTCCTCCATCAGGGTTCCTTTAGAATCAAGGTGTAAAACAGCTAGCAAATGCTTCCACTTGGCCTTCTGCCTTGAACAGTGAGACGGTGCAGCTGAGTAGGAAGGCAAATGCTTTCTGCAGCGCATGCTTTCAAGACAGAAAAAAAAAATACAAAAGAGGCTGGCTCATTAGTGAAGTTGGGGCAGTTTCCTTACATGGCTAACTTCCGGCAGTGGCAGTGCCGCTTTGAACAGGCTCCCTCTTCTGCTTTAGGATGCTTTCCTGTTGCTGCTGTTGACCGTGTGTTCCCCCAGGTGAAACACGAGGCAGAGCTCACCACCCTAACCCACCCTCAGCTGACCCAGGGCTCTACTTGCCTTATGATGATGCAGATCACCAAGAGGGAGACACCCAGGCACTTCCGGTGCAAGAGCTCATTTCCCTTCTGTCGCTGATGCATCTTCCCTCCACATTTGTTGCAGCACCGACACAGGCAGAAGCAGCACCCCACCACGGGCATCAGAAGGACAAAGAGCAGTCCCAGGAGACCGCAGATGATGATGCCCAACTCGTAGTAGACAACCTGCAATTCAGGCAGAAGAATCAGAACAGTAAGCGCCACAGCACAGTGTACTCAGCTGGTTTGTTTCTTAACCTACTCATCATCATGAGTGTGACATCAAAACGCACACATGTATTTTTTGCAGCTTGGAGCTCCTTCTTGGAATGGAGGTGGAGATTCGCGCCATGAGAATATGGGACCCAGTGGTTATTGTCTTCTTTTCAAGTCCCAGAAAGAAACCCAACTGCAGATAGCCTCATGGGAACACCAAACAGACCGCATTTGCATTTGGACAGTCTACGACAGCTGGACAGGAGCACATGCACAGTCTACACAAGGGGCACCTTACAGGAGAGGCAGAGAAAGTCACAGAAACAGCACGTCCGGGGCAGGGTACGTTGGATCCTTCAGTGGCAAATTCAGAGTCAGTTACACAGAACCTGGAACACGCTTTCTGAGTCATATACTTAGCCTTTCTATTCCATGCATGGAAAATAAAAGTATGCACTTTGCCAAGTCATTGTGAAAATTAGAAGTGCTCTGTGTGAGAGACTGATAGCAAGCACAGAGAGAGTGAAAGGAATGGCATCTTTCCCACTAGGCCCGAGTGGCACAGTGACCATGGCTCAGAGGGTTCAAGTCTCTAAGAACCAATACATCCTCTAAATACCATCAGCCATGTGAGCCAGATGTATTTTCATGATCCTTGCTACGTCTATTCTGGGATAAAGGAGGACTAATGCAATGACTTCATTCTAATTCCCAGTCACATTTCTGAAGCAGAAATATATTGTTTGGTCATTTGCCACTGACGGATGAGTTAGATAGCCATGGGTTCTGAAGCTCAGCTAAGCAAAGCCCAACTAAATGCACGTGTTGTTCCAAGGAGCAAATGGGTTGTTTTAGAAGACAACTTGGACCTGGTATCAGAAGACCAGCCTGGGTTGCTGGCTCCCCAAGGCAGGAATGTGTCACGTTTGCATTTTGTGAGGGACGGATAACTAACTAGGTGGGTCCATGTGAAACCAACTAATCATGCCCATAATAAAAATCATTTATTTATATTCAATAAATAACAGATCACTTCATGAGCAACTGTCTAAGAATATTGAATTATGTGCATATGGCAGTTCAATACTTCAGTATTAAGGCTAGCATATGCCGAAATATGGATGACTTTGGGTCATTCCTCAAGTTCATGCTTATGCTTAAGCTGTTCTCCTTTAAAAATATATATTTGAAAGGCAGCGAAAGAGGGAGCATCCATCCACTGTTTTTCCACAAATGCCACAATAGCCGACGCTGGGCCAGGCAGAAGCCAAGAGCTTGGAACTTCATTCTGTATCAGTGACAGGAGCCCAAGTACTTGAGCCATTATCTGATGCCTCCCATGACGCATTAGGATCAGAAGTGGAGCAGCTGAGACCCAAGCTGGATCTACTAGACGGGACGTTAGTAGAGCAAGTGGCAGCTGAACCTGCTATGCCATGATGCCTATCGCACAAACTTTTAATCATACGTTTTGCTATTATTTCTCAGCAAATATTCTAAATTATTTATTACTTTTCAATGAATTTTCACTTCTAAAAGATTATTATTTATATGAGAGGCAGAAAGTCATAGTTTCCAACCACTGATTGATAGGCCAAATACCTGCAAGGCAAGGACTGGGTTAGGGCCAGAGGGAAAGCAGGGAACAATATTGAGGTTTCCCCCACGGATGCCATGAACCCAGCTACTTGAGCCACTGCTGCTGCCTTACTGGGTCCACAGTGGCAGAAGCCAGAGCCAGGGACAGAACCAAGGCAGTCCAGTGTGTGATGTGAGTATCACATCCCCTAAATGAAACATTCACTCCGAAAAAGCTTTAAATCTTCTCTGGATTCCATGACATGCTGAATTCAAACCCAAGAGTGAGAGAGTATACCGAAATTCTTTAAAATGCACATTTGGGGAAGGCATGGTGGTGTGTCAGCCTCATTCTGTATTGCTATGCACTAGCATCCCTTATGGACGTCAGTTAATGCTCCAGCAGCCCCGCTTCCCATCCAGCTCCCTGCTTGTGGCCTGGGAAAGCAGTGGAGGATGGCCCAAAGCCTTGGGACCCTGCACCTAAATAGGATGCCAAGATGGCAACTCTTGATTCTGGGTTTTGATCAGCTCAATTCTGGCTGTTACAGCCATTTGGGGAATAAGACAGCACACAGAAGACCTCCCTCTGTCTCTCCTTCTTTCTTTAAAAAAATCTTTCAATTAAAAATAAATCTTTAAAAAACAATACACATTTTGCTCTTTTTTCCACAACCTTTCCAGTGCTACTGGCTAAATACCAGACGGTGTCGGGAGCAGGAGTTCACTGCTAGGCTGGAGTCCAGCCAAGGGCTTGTGTGTGCTGGGATGGCAGGGGATGCAATTTCTATATTTTCTCATGTTCCAAGATCTGTAAACACTTTGTAGGTCAAGTTTGAAGGTCAAACTGAAATGGACAGAGATATGTTGCCATCTGCTCCAGGATGATTAAAATGAAAAGGGAACACGATAGAAGACAGCAAAACACAAAAAAACAAGAAGCTTCATAGTCACTGGAAGGACAACAGAGAACAGAGTTCTGACAAGAGTGTTGCTTTAGACAAAGCAACACGAAACCGTCAGAGGATGGGGGCTTTACCTTCAGAGCCAGGACTACATTCTCTGGCTGTGGGAGAGAAGGCAGTGGAGGGGGCGTCGGCAGAAGTAGCGTCCAGAAAACAGAAAACATCTCATGAGTGGAGAACATCTCAGCCACACGCACATCCCACACAGAGAAAACCCACGCAGAGATAAGTGAGAACACAAGTGTGTGTAGGACAGTGCTGTAAGGAGGGCCGGGTCTGGAATTCACATCCGGTGATGTGTTTGCAAGGTGCTGGTGAGCACGCGCATCGGCTGTGCAGACAAATTGGAAGGAGTGTGACGGATGCTCAACACGCAGATCCTGGGCTTTTCCTAAAACAGCAGAGCAGGCAGCAGCCAAGTCAGTTCTTCTGAGGTGTCTTTCAAAAACAAAAACCTGATGGTGCGGACATTCCCTGGCTTAATAACACTCAAGTGATTCTTACCAATTTTCATGCACACTTCACACGGCCCTCCGTCCCTAGACCTGCCTCCACGCCTCCATTCCTCTTGGCTGCTTCTGACAGTTCTCATCCTGGGAAGAAGAACCAGTCACTGCCCTCTCCTGAATCGGGACTCTCCAGCTCCTCTTCTGCCATATCAGCTGCTTCTGCTGTCTCAATTTTTCCTTGATGAGAGTCAGCTTTCTCTGATCCATCTGGCAGGACAAGAGCCTCCAGATCCCTGTGGTCGCCACAGAGGATGGGTCTGCATTCACGTGAGGCAGCAGCTTGAACCCTGGTTCCATTGTTTAGTGATTTGCTACTCCAGTTGCCCAGGATGGTCACCCAGGGAGCTTTCCAGAAGCACCTGTTACCAGCCACCCCTGACCAACTATTTCTGAATCTCTGGGAAACAAGGTTTGCGCATTGCTTCCAATGCGACCTTGAGCCCAGAAAGCCATCAGCATGGCTATAAATAGCGGCCACGTGGGATGGAGTTGTAGGAAGAGCGTCCTGAGAAACCAACAGGCACAGGAACCTTGCTCTCAGCACTTTAGAGGTACTTCCTAAAGTATACTGAGTTGATACATGTGACATGTGCTTACGCTGGCATCTGCTAGAGAAACAACTCAATGCCATTGGGCATCATTGTCATCCCTGAACCTGATGGCACGCGTCACCTTGCACATGGCTCTTTTTAATCACTGAGAGCCCCAGAATGCACCTTCCTCACGTGGAAAGGAGAGTAGCTATGTCATCGCTTACCTCTCGTGGACATGCAGGTGAGATCCAAACATCTCAACCCCTCCACCCCGTGTGGTGACCTGGCATGAGTATCAAGTAGGCAACCAGTGACTGTGAGTGGCAGTGGGGAATCAGGTCAGGGAGACAGCGACGAAGCACTGGCCCTGCAGGCTGAAGCTGTTCCCTGCACGGGAGGGCCAGGACACCAGGTACTGGCTGGTGTAGCACTCGGCAAGTCTCCCAGTCCTCCCTGTGGCCCAAAGTGTGTGCCTTTCGCTTAGGCATCTGCCTTGCTCCATTGAACTGAAACAGACCACCATGGTGAGCCTGCACAAGAATTAGCTGCCTTGCCACACTGGCAACACTGGCATCCAGCCTGGGGCCACCTGGTGTGGCATGACAGGGCATGTCTGCTGCCATGCCCTGGGGGAGCAGCACCACACAGGAGAAGCAAAACAAGGTGCCCTAATCAGCCTGCAGCAATGCGAACATGGCAAACAGATTTTACCCAGCTTCATTGTCCTCACAGACAGGGTCTGTTTGTTTCCTGGACAACCCACACACCTAACAACCCCCAACCAACAGCTCTGTTCCTTTGTGTTGGGGTGATTTAGCCACTCCTGGTTGTTAAGAGAGGTTCACCAGATGACACTTCCTCGAGACACTGTCCCTCGCCTTAATGAGGTTGATAAGCTGACAATCACCACACGCTTGCCTGCCCAAGCTCCAATTCACTTTCGCTCCTTCCTCTGTCTCTGTCCAGGGCCTTGCTGCTTCCATTCCTCTGCCTCTGTTCAGGGCTTCCACAACCTGGGGTGCGCAGGCAGCCACCTGCCAGGCAGTCTTGGCCTTGCTGGCCTTTCTGCAAGCCTGCGAGGTCCTTCCTCTCCAGAGAAGGGATGGAATTCATTTTTCTCTCATTTCTTCTGCTTGTTACTCCTGCTGCTCCTTAGAGTCGCCAGGTACCACTTCCACCACTTGGGGATCTCTACCTCTCCCTTGCCCTGATCTGAGCATGTGTGCATGCGCACACACACACACACACACACACACACACACGCAGCAGGTGCACAGTAACTTCTGCTCAAATGTGATATGTCTGCTCAAATGTGATATGTCTTCTCACAGCCTTTGAAAGGAAGGTGTGCACCTGCTGCTGCTTCTAAGAAGATTTAGTCAAAAATTTTTCTTATTTTAACAAGTACATTGATTAAACAAATTACCTTTTCATATTCCACTGAAGGCTCAAACTTCTTCTGTATGATTTTTTTTACAATCTCTGGAAAGAGAAACCAAAAAACAGTAAAATTATTTTTTCAGTGAGAATATAAAATGCATATTTAGAAAAATAGACCTCCAAATTATTATAGCTGTGGTAGTTTGATAATTCCTATTTATTTTGCTAGAAGTTTCTTTTATTGGAGAGATGAAGGAGAGAGATGAAAGAAAGGAAGAAGGAAGGAAAGAGAAAGAAAGAAAGAGAGAAAGAAAGAAAGAGAAGAGAGAGAAAGAAAGAAAGAGAAGAGAAGAGAAGAGAAGAGAAAAGAAGAGAAGAGAAGAGAAGAGAAGAGAAGAGAAGAGAAGAGAAGAGAAGAGAAGAGAAGAGAAGAAACCCAGCTGCTGGTTCACTCTCTAAACAACCACAGAGCAGCCCAGAGAGGGGCAACCCAATGCCAGGAGCTGGAAAATCAATCCAGATCAATCCAGATCTTCCCTGTGGGTGACAGGGCCCAAGCAGCTGAGCCATCATCCGCTGTCTCCCAATGCGCACACTACAGGAAGCTGGAATGAAAAGTAAAATGGAACATGAACTCAGACACTGAGAAATGGGATGCAGGGATGTGAACCCCTAGGGTAACCACCCACTCCTACCTCCTCTATTCCTTAGTGTAAGTAGATAATTGCATTACGGAGCAAAAAGTGGAGGAATAAATGTTTTGACTGACAGACTAAACGGTTGTCACACTGAAGTGCTCACAATTTCTTGTGATATATCTTAATATTTGTTGGCAAGTCCCTCAGAGCCCATTAATAATCACTGATAATCATACTGCATTGGATTCACAAATTCTTAATTGCCTGGAACCACAAAAGCAATTTAGTTTTTAATAATTCCACATTTGTGCAATGCTTTTTCAAAAGCAATGGATTCCTAACATTGACCTAATCCAAGAGTACTTCTGACATGAGAAATTTCCCCCTTCCAGACTCTCAACAATGCAGGAAAATCCTGGAATACCATGCCAAACTGGATTTTTCCATCCATGTCCATTGTAGGCCTGGGACCAAAAAAGGTCAGAAGACACCTTAGTGTGAGCCACATTCTAGGATGACACAGGACACCATGGCCCAGACAAACTTGTGAGAGGCAAGAACCAGGCCCATCTCACTCATGGTCTCTCGCCACCCCCGAGAATGAGCCCCCGAGGGCAATTCCCTGGTCAGGGACACCCATAGTGAATGCTTTATAAAAACAGAGTTCAGACTCAGATGCTTGGAAATAAAGCACACTTCCCATCAGGCCCTTCTGGAAAAGGACTTCAACCTCGGGCAGGCAGAGCCAGGATGCAAGCACATGTTACAGACCATCAGCAGGACCAATGGTCTTCCAGCTAGCTGGTACATGAGGGAAGCAGGGCAGCTGAGCCACCCCCTTTGGCTCCCTCCCACCTGGTTTTGCTCTGTTGTCAGATTAGGCATCGGTTTAAAACCATACTCGCTAGAAGGACCTACTAGTGGTTAAGAGACTAAAAGCATCTGTTTATTAAGATACATTTAGCCTAGTCACGTCCACAACATGTTACAGTTTGGCATTTTGATCTAGGGTAAGAATTAGCACCATTTAGCACCATTTGCAAAGGATGGCTTAGTGCTAAGTTGAAATAACATCCATAGACAAAACAATATCCCTGAACTCACACACCCTGTGGCTAGGACTCCTAGAGATGACAGGAAGTATACATTGTAGGTGTAGTGTAGTTCACTTTTCATTTCAAACACAAAATTGAGGCAGCTGTTGCAGTACAGCAGCAGGTGAATCTGCCTTCAGGACAGGTGCATCAGCACTGGAGTGCCTGGTACCAAGTGTCGCATCTGCTTCCCATCCAGCTTCCTGCTGACGCACAGCCTGGGAGGCAGGAGATGATGGCCCGAGGACCTGGGCTCCAGTCACACCTGTAATAGATACCTGGGTGGAGTCAACTGGCCAACTGGCTGCTGGCTTTAGCCTCTTCCAGCCCTGGCTGCTGTAGGCATTCAAGGAGTTGACCAGTGCGTGAACAACCTCTCTCCAACTCCCTGCCCCTGCCTGTGGTGTGTGTGTGTGTGTGTGTGTGTGTGTGTGTGTGTGTGTGTGTGTGTGTGACTCTACCTTTCAAATAAATAAATAAGTAAATCTTTTTTTTAAAAGTAAAAAAAAAAACTTGACCTTGGGTCTAGCACAATGGCTCAATTGGTTAATCTTCTACCTCCAATACCAGTGTCCCATATGGGTACCGGTTCATGTCTCAGCTGCTCCATTTCCCATGGTGCTCCCTGCTGATGGCCTGGGAAAGCAGCAGAGTATGGTCCAAAGCCTTAGGATGCTGCACTTGCATGGGAGACCCAGAGGAAGTACCTGGCTCCTGGCTTCAATATCAGCTCAACTCGGAGCACTGCAGCTGCTTGGAGAGGGAACCAGTAGATGGAAGAACCTTATCATCTCTTCTCTCTGTAAATCTGCCTTTCCAACAAAAACTAAGTCCCCTTAAAAAGAAGTAAAAATGCTAAGAAAGTGAAACTTGCAATTTCAAGAAAGCCACAGAACAGTTTCTCACCTGTGATACAGTTAAAGCTTTAAGGCAAAAATTAGAATTTTGCAAAATCTGAATCCACTGCTATGAGGGGAATACCATCCTGCCAGAGGCCAGCTCCAGCCAAGTCTGAAACTCGAGAAGGGTGTGTGGAGTCGGTGATAAAGGCACGGACATTGTCACTTGGTGCCCTCTCATAGCAGCTCAAGAAGCTGTCCTTTTTATTTACTCAGACACATCACAAGCCTCTGCACAAATGTTTGATTTTACTGTCTTTGACTTCAGAACTAAGCCAGCATGCACAGATGTTCGATTATTTTTTTTTTAATTGGAAAGGCGGATATACAGAGAGGAGAGACAGAGAGGAAGATCTTCCGCCCGATGATTCACTCCCCAAGTGAGCGCAACGGCCGATGCTATGCCAGTCCAAAGCCAGGAGCCTCTTCCGGGTCTCCCACACGGGTGCAGGTTCCCAAAGCTTTGGGCCGTCCTCGACTGCTTTCCCGGGCCACAGGCAGGGAGCTGGAAGGGAAGCAGGGCTGCCAGGATTAGAACCGGTGCCCATATGGGATCCCGGGCGTGCAAGGCAAGGACCTTAACCACTGTGCCACCGCGCCGGGCCCCGATGATTTATTTTTACTTCATGGTCAACCAGGTGCTCTTAAAGACAATTCTGTAAGTTACTATAATCAATTTCTTCAAAGCAAGCCATTATCCGTTCTTCAGCAGCAGCCATTAGGCGACAGCCGGGACTGCACTGCCAAGGCACATGTGGTTACCTCCTGATCAGTAATACATTCCCACTGCATTTCTGTTTCTACAATTTATCTATCACTTAATGGGAGAAATACATCAAAAGGGAAAAGTATAAAGATCCAAGACAAAAGGTTTCAAGCATTCAATCTCCCTACAACTGCAGGCTCTACAACCCCATAATAACAATAATCACAAGCTTTTCTCTATGATATTAATAAAAGCCCCCTATGATTCCTCTAGCCAAAAAATTATAAAAATGACTAAAACTGATACGTTTTCTATGCCCCAAAGAGTTGCAAGGACAGGCTAGCCTTTAAGGTCACAGTAACTGTATTGCCATAGCAGTTTCAGGTTATACTCCCATCACTTGCATTTTATCAAGCCATTTCCCAGAAGGCATGCTACATGTCTGGGCCAGATTCTGGGGCAGTGGGTAGGCACACAATAAGTGTCCAGAAACAGCAAGACCCTAATTGTACTCCTGTGTGTAGTTAAAGGCGCACTCACCAAGACATTATCAGCAACATTAAACCATCTCACAGGAGCAAACAACAATGCCTCAATAGATTAAAGAATTCTTAGCCAGGTAGTTGAGTATCCATGCAAAAGGGGGTGAGACTGCATTGAGGTGGTTGGAGACATATCTGCCAGGCCTTGCCATACAGCTGGAAGCTCCTCGCAGCCCTGCCAACAGGGGAGCTGTTCTCTTCACACCTTTGTGTCACTCACACCCACTGCCTGGACCCCAGCACCATCCCACTACTGACACTTGTCTAATGAGACCAGTGATGGTAAGGAATTTTTGACGATATAACATGAAGTATGACTACATCTAGGAGGTGTGATGAACTCAGGAAAACACCATTTTCCAAAATGACCAATGCACAATGTCCCAATGCTTCCTGCGCTGGGTCCCAAAAGCCAGCACAGGAAAAGCTCCAGCCAGAGTGGGAAATGGATGAGTGAATTATAATGCATCAAAGGCTGAAAAAATCAGTTACATGCCTCCAGGTTCCAGAATACAAAAAGCCTTCAAAAAATAAGTAAACTGGTCCTTGCAAACACATTTACAAGCAAGCTTGTGCACACATACCCAGAGAGATTACTAAGATGCTGTCTCTGTCACAGCCCCATGCCCCTGCAAGCCCAGATTCTGCACGGCAACCCACGCAGCAGTAGTCATAGAGTAATGAATTCAGACAGCACCACCAGAGTCAGCAAGTTTCCAACAGCCAGCTGCTAAAGAGATTTGCAAAACAGAAATTCTAGGGATTTTCTTTCCACAGTTTAATTTGTTTTGGAAATGTGCTTATTTTTAATAAAAGCCTGTGACTTGTGCAAAGGGTTTATGAGCATTGCTTTAAGTGTAAACATGTTGTCATTGGGAGTCCAGGTAAAGTCTGAGCAGTGGCAGCGATGCGTGGATCCCCCAGCCACGTGGCTGTGTAGCTTCCTGCTGGCCCAGGCTTCCTGCTGGGGATCCTAGCTCCCCATCCACCACTGCTAGGCAGGTGGAGGGTCCTGCGCTTGTGAGCAGCCGGTGCCTCTGAGCCGCTGCTCACCAGAGTGAATGAAGACCAGCAGCATTCAGCATACGTGTCCACAGGCTTCTACATGCAAAGCCCTGACTGACACTGTACTGCTCAGCCCTCATACCAGACCTCACAGGAACAAACACTGAGCAATTTTGTCTCAGCTGGATGCGTCCCTCACCGGAGACAACTGGCAACTC